GCTTGAGTACTGGGAATCTGAGATACATGAGGCTAGTATCCAAAATGACATCAGAAATGTCGCCCCTAGTACTCAACCACTTTTAGATGACCTGAGCGTGGCTGATTTAAGATACAAACTTGTCTCACTTGGAGTACACACTAAAGTGTCCTCTCGGGAGAAACTGTTTGACATGATCAGTTCAGTTACACGTTTAGTGTGATGCCATGATATGGATAGAATGCTTACCCAAACCTGTACATGGAGTTCATTATTTAGTTACAAATTTTTCTGAAATGTATTGTATATAATGCAATGTCATGTGATTCTGATTTGTGAGTGCTTATGTTGTAAATACATCTCTTGGAATACAATGTTTATTTCGTTAAAAGTGTGACTCGCAATGAAATAACATATGGTGTTATTATAGAGGACCGGATGCCCACACTGTCCGGCTTAATTGCCTTCCCTGCTGAGAGACCTAGCCAGGATCTCTAGACCTGTACGTGCATCTGTGCCCTGAGTAAAGGGATATAACTCCTCAACACATAAGTCTTGTATCTATGGTTAATAAACATTAAAAATTAACTATGAAGGTGTTTATCACTACTGAAAATTTGCATATGCATTGAAAATATTTTGATTGTTGTGATATTGCTGTGTGACAGTTTTCCTGTCTACATTAATAAACGACTCGTCGATCACTGAAGTTCGGTGTTTTCACTGAAGATGGGAAATTACGTTTGTATCTAGGAAACAATCGTGGGACACATTTTCAAAGTATTTGTGACTATCTTCCAAAAGCTATTAAACAGTTCCAACTTATATAACCATAGAGACATAATTTCCAACAATATGAATCCAGGGGGACATATTCTGAATACTTGAACCTAACTGACGTCGACAAGTTTTAAACTACAGGTCCTCTTTATCTATCACCATTTTACGGTTGGGTGATTTCAATCTTGGTGTGATCCCCTTGGCACAGATTCTTGGGTATGGGTGGAGGCGTATCGTTCTATGCACCCAAATGGGGCGAATTAGAAGAGAAGCAATAGTTCCTTATGGACAGCAAAACTTACGATTTGTCAATGTCAACTGTTTCATTTGTTAAACTTTTTATAGATAATATATATTTCGTTCGTGCGGCGTTTAGATTAGTGTGCCATTTGTGAAGCAGGAATGAAGTTGATCATGGTTCCCCTCGATATTGTAAGACATTTCTCACATCGGGATGCCTTATCTGAAAGGTACATCGGAATATACAAGATTTGTTCTCAAATTAGTGCAACATTCACTCTAACGTTCCCACTTTGAACGTCTTGCATTACCTGCTTTACGTCTCCCAAAAGCTGAAAATATTCATGAACATTAGTAAGCTTAAACGTGAAGTCGCTCATTCACTTACTGAATGAACCAGTTCATATTGCCTCCCACCCCCTTTTATGAACAACGCCCTTGCTAGAATACACGTAAATCTCAACTTTCGCCGTGAAGAGCCCAGACCTTCGCTATTGTTTCAAATCCGGGATACACGACGTAACAGACTCCCTCAGATCGTCATTTGGAGACATGCGTAATATGCCTCGTCAACTTTGAATCTAACACACATCGTCGGAAGTCATGACATTGCAAGTTGTCTGATCCAACGGAAAACGCATTACAACATGAAACGTTATTTCCGACTGGGCGAGATCTGTTTAAAAGTTAAATGCTGGTTCATTTTGACGTGTTATAAGCTATACTGCGCTAAAGACTTCATATAAACTATAATACCGCTAACTAAAGACCAACCTAAATGCTTCAACCATAATTACAGATCCAGAAGCACAATCACCTGTTACGATATGACGCACACGTGAAACTTGCTTTAATGTATTATACCGCAATGGATGAGGACTAAAATGTATGATGTTCTGCCTTTACATATCTAATGTAAGCAATAATTTTGGCTCTACTTTAGTGCATTTAAGGTGTCGTTTCGGCCTTGTTTGTAATTTATATATGTACTAAATGTTTTATACTTTAACACATGCTTGCAAGGTGACTAACGGATCGTGTGGTCAGGCTCACCGACATAGTTGATGCATCGTATTCAAAATTGTGGTAGATATTGTCTTGTTCAGACTCGATTAAAAAAATGTATATATTAGATCGGCGTTAAACCACCACCTGTCCAGAAAGATCTAACGAGTCGGATATAGAATGTACCGTCAGGTGAACCCTCATTTTTGTCCGCCCAATCTAAATGGGAAAAAAAAGTGGGATCTTGATCTGCGTCAGCTTTCAGATCTGAGAACATCTATAAAACTCAAAATGCGTTAAACTATATACTACGTCAAACATTACGATCGTTGGTATATACCACTCACCAAGTATCACAAATTCGCAACTTTTACAATTTGAAATTGTATTCGTTTAAAACTGGATAAATCATATGGTAACACATGTTTAGGGGAAAACAGCCACTTTAAGCTAACCATATACACTTGATACATGAATAACCATGAAAATGGTTTTCATGGCACCAACCATTTTTGCAAATCATGGAACGAGTCATTGACAAGTACGGGGATCCGCAATGACATGCCTTAAACCTAGGATACATACTTACAAAGCTTAGATATTTTAAACCAAAATGGGACCCCAGTTTTTTTAATGTTTTGATCCTTAGCAAATTGTGAATAGTATAGTTGAATGCAGATAAGCACCTTTCTGAGAATGTCCACATTCGGCAACACGAAACTACGGATTGGGGGATTCGAATCTTTTCATATTCGGTTTTTCTTTTGCAGATTCAGCACTCGAGCCTCCTTGTAACTATACTCTTTGCACCTTCATCTGTCAAAATTATCTAGCGACGTTACCGTGCACCCTCGGAGTTAAGCCGAACGGTCCAGAAGCTCTTCCCTGCTTGCAGGCGTCAACCCTCCATGGCGATCGCAGAAAGACGAACAATGTCAATATTTCATTCCCCCTCTAAAGTACTGTCGGAAATAGAGAAAAAGCTGCATTTTCTCATATCTCTACAATTTATGTAGTCGATATGTGCAAGTGTGAAATATCTGTTAACTAAGTTCGGCCTAACTACAGTCTCGGTGGTAGGGACGTAGAAAAAGGACTTGACTGAGAGATTAGTGCAGAAATGAGGAACGCGGTTTTTTCTAAGGTTAAACGATTTATATGGAACAGACCTTGGCTTTATGCAAATTAGTGTGCGACGATATCGTATTACAAAGGACATTTTTAAATGCCCAATCGACAGCTGGCGCAAAAATAACTTTCATGCTGAAACTATTAAGGATGTAGCTACCATGGAGTCTCACCGTCACTATAAAAAGAAACAGGAGGTTAGTCTCAAAAGCAAACCTGGACGGGTGTCGCAGACGATCGTTGGGGGATAGAGATATAAGATAATCCTCGAGAGAAATCATACTGGGGAAGTACACGGCATTGTCATAACAATTTACCAATAACATCCAGGACCCTGATCCACAAAGCGTTCGTAACGTTACGATATGTCGTAACTATATTTATCATAGGCTTACGAATGCCGTAGCGCTACGAACACTTTGTGGATCGGGGCCCGTCCTTTCGATCTTAGCGATCAGGTGGTCATGCCACCCATATATTTTGAGACATTTAATACAATGCGTTTCTATGGTTATCAGGTATCATACTCTTTTACATATCTCAATATAAACTTAATGAAAGAAAGTCACGCAAGATGTTAAATAGATGAGACAGTCAACACACATGAAAAACAAAACTCTTTGAGATGACCCCTTGTGCCTGTAGGCTGCACGTGCATTCCATGCCAGGCGAGTGGACGGTCCGTCGTCTACCAGGCTGAGTGACCTAATTGCCATCTACAGTCTGAGCTATATTTTCTAAGTTTTGCCCGATTTTACGAGTAAACATGGATATCCTATTACGCATCCCACTTAATGCCAATTTAGGCCGAAGTGGGTTATTTCGACATATGCTATTTGCAGTTGTGTAAACTTTAGGGATACAGAGTAACAGCCTAAAAACGGTCTATTTTCTATTTCCGACAGTACTTTAGGTGCTCGTTGTGTACCTGGGCAACTTAAAGACAAACAACCAAACTACAGTTTTCGATATTTGAACCTCAAATCTGAGTTAACATTCGGGTTCCGAGATTTGAATCCCGAATCTGAACATTTATTGCAAAGCTTCTGTTCAATTGCAATATTCAGACTATTGAAGGCTACAAAACATTGATGTAACTGTTTTAAACGAGTTTAGACACATTGGCATCGATAAGGTGTACAGAATCAAATTATTCGGCCATAATTATTTACATACCGAACTGACCGTTCAGCTTCGTTTAAGAAAGAAAGAACCCGTATAGTGTATTTAAAACGCCAAAAGCCCTTCAGGTTTAATTTTCAACGCAAACGTACCGGATGTTTTTATATGTGACCTAATAGAGGGGCCGACCATTTGAAATTCGGGGGATACTGAAATTATCCTGTATATGCTGGACGCCATTGTGGTGGTGGTGGTGGAGGAATTGGGTTTAAAAAGCGGAATTGGGTTTAACGTTGAGAATATTTCGTTCATATGATGACGTGCATGCGTGTGTATGTGTATGTGTATGTGTATGTGTATGTGCGGCTGCTTGTACTAGTCCAGACTTAAGCTGGTTTTATAGTGCTAGCCCACTGTGATACCATGCCGCAGTGAAGCATGAATACCCCACTCACTCAGACACATTATACTGACTCCGAGCCGACCAGTCCTTGTTGTACCAATTAATGCCGAGCGCCAGGCAGGGACCAACAAGTACCATATTTTAACGTCTTTTGGTATGACGCAGTCGGGGATCGAACCCGCGACCTTCCGCACTCCGGGCGGACGCTCTAACCACTACACCACGGAGGCGGTCGGACGCCATTGTAATTGTAGAACGAAAATCAAGTCTTCAGTCAGCTACCAAATACAGTTCACGGTCCGTCCGTGACTGAAAACTTTAGAAAAACAACCCCAACTAAATATCGATGTGTTTCTTTATTAAGACAACCACCAGATAAAAACTTTAAAATCAGGTGGCGTCGATCATCGCCTACTCTGGGACTCCCCGAAGACGCTGTGGGTCAGCTTGTAAGCCTCCGACACGCCCAGAGTCCCCCGCATCCACTGCATCACCGGCGACTCTGCAAAAGCAGGTTTAACTCGGACATAAAGGTTTCAATTGTCTGAATTTTAGCTTTATGAGAGGAAAAAAAGCCAAAAGTAATGTGGATGTTTATAGTGAGTGAGTTAAGTTTTACGCCGCTTTTTGCAAAATTCCAGCAATATCACGACAGGGGGATATCATAAATGGACTTCACACATTGTGCCCCTGTGGGAATCGAACCCGGGCCTTCAGCGTGACGAGCGAGCGCTTTAACCACTGGGTTACCCGACCGCCCCTGGATGTTTGTGTCTTTGGTGAAACCAACAGCACATGTAGGACGCATTGTAACCTTTGATCTCTGGTTCGGCCAATATATTCTTTCATCCGTGTACTTGGTTAAATGCAATTTAATATTTTTTAAACGGTATTGTCTCACGACACTTTAATATTTCAGTTATAGCACTTTTATTTTGAACTGAGTATGGTTTTACGCTGCTTTTTGCAATATTCCAGCAATGTCAGGGCGGGGGATACCAGAAATGGGTTTAACACATTCGCTGTCGTATCCGGGTCTTCGGCGTGACGAACGAACGCTTCAACCACTGGGCTACCCCGCGCCTCCTCAGACTTAGTCAGCCCTTCCAGCTGACGGTAAAGGGAGAGTGTTGAGGGAGTGATTTTAGTGTTACGCCGCACTCAACAATATTCCAGCTACATGGCGGCGGTCTGTAAATAATCGAGTCTGGTCCAGACAATCCAGTGATCAACAGCATGAGCATCAATATAAGCAATTGGGATACAATGACATGTGCCAAGTCAGCGAGCCTGACCACCCGATCCCGTTAGTCGCCTCTTACGACAGGCATGGGTTGCTGAAGATCAATTCTAACCCGGATCTTCACGGGTGCGAATTTTGGCGGAAGTTACTTTTCAGTCTTGTCAATACTGCAAATCCTCTCCGTTTTCGGCCTGAACTTTCCTTGGCACACGTAAACTGAAAATTGAACAAATGTCATGACGTGCCGCAACACCAATCACGTTTTGCTAAACAGCCATGTTAGCCACTGTTAATGCACCTTCCCTACAGTAGTTTCATTCCGGAAGTGACGTAACCATCTTTTCATTAATTTTGTACGGAAGTTCTCTTGCATACCAGTGAAGTCTGGACGTTTCTGTTTGGTGCCTTCATTCAAATCCGGCACTGTGGGTCACTACGAAAGACTAATGCCACTTTCGAAAAACAAACTCTCGTTTTAAATAAGTTTAGTTTTCGATTTTTTTTTCGACATTTCAAAGCAATCCGAAAGGTGTGAAATTACGATTATCCACAATTGCAAACATTTCATTGTAACCGACATGAGAAACTTCATTAATATGTTGTGAGGTCTAGACTTTCTCACGCCACAGCGATAGCCGATAACCGGACATAAAAACAACAACTTACCCCGTCGCATTCTGTTGAACAAACTAAAACTTTGCACTCAAATCGAAGTCCTGGATCACCGTTGATGGTAAAGAGGCGAAAGAAATGGCTGAGGGACGCCGTTCCCTTGGTTTTAAACCCTTTGTTCTTGGGGATAACCATTCCATCGCCGCATCTGAAATACAGGGATAGGGAGATTGCTGCGGTTTGGTTGCCGATAGCACCTCAGATATTCCAGCTATATGGCGGCGGTCATTAAATAATCGAGTCCGGACCAGACAGTCCAGTTATCAACAGAATGAGCATCGATCTACGCAGTAGGGATACTATGACATGTGTCAACCAAGTCAGCTATTCTGACCACCCGACCCATTAGTTGCCTCTTAAAAGCATGGGTTGCTGAAGGCCTATTCTAACACGGATATTCACGGGTCTTAGTTTTAGGCAGTGGTGCAATTATGCAGCATTTTTATTCCAAAATCGTTTGAATTTTGAGCCCACTCAGTAATATTCCAACTTTACGACCAAGTAAATACACTACAAATGTTTTCAAAATTGAATTTGGTTTGTAGGTTGGAAATCCAAGTATAATTTAAGGGGAGAAAGTCATTGACGTCTCCTGGAATTGTAATTTCAAGAGTTGTTACAATGGAAGTCAAAAGAACAGCTCACCACTTGACCTATGTATGTACCAATTTAGTGAAACATTGTACGAATTTCAAGATATCAGGAAACATCGTGCACGGAAGCACGGGGCATGGACGGAGTGACGATGTCCATTCAAATACCACCGATAAACGTTGCTTGGGATATAAGGTTGACAGATAAAGGGACTTCATGAAATTGTATTTGTCTTCAGCCGATCTCAAAACTTACTTACCCATCTCGTAGCATCGACAATTTGTTTCCTTTGGAATCAACGGCGTTACAAGATACTGGCTGGATTCCTTTGTCGCCAGCAGCTGAAAGTAGTTTTCAGCCGGTTTCTTATGTTCCTGCAATATTATTGGACTCTGGGACCAATCAGTAGTTTTCCGAATCCTCTTTATTACATTTAATGGCTATCAAGAAGTTAGTCCGTTTGAGACAAAATGATACCGATGAATTGCAATCTAACACAAAACAAATAGACATAAAAGAATCAAACCAACGCGGACTGCAATTAAAACATACCAACTCTAGAAAAAATGCATAATTTTTGTCACAAAAATAAAAACGTTTAAGAAACTCATTTATTTGTGCGTTTTCCCAGTTTGCTACAAGGGCGCATTGGCAACTAAAGGAACAGCGCGAAAAGAGATGCACGTGCGTTAACGGGTTCTCAACTTTTGAGCTGGCGACATGACACGTACCCCAGCTGCACAGGCAGTGCGCTGTACTTAGTCTGTTTGCAGTGAAAACGTACCGATGAATTTCACTCTAAACAAAAGTAAATCATATTAAGTGAAATTAAGATTGCGAATCCTCATAATTTGACCTTGCCAAATGATCATTTAAATCTCAGAATTCTATTTAACTTAGGATAAAAGTAGTTAAACGAACTATCAGATTCAAATCGATATTATTGCTTTGTATTATGAGGGGGTAAGCGCAGTAGTTGGAACAGTGAAACAAATGCACGTGATGAGCAGTACCTTAGACGAACCCTACTTGTTCTCCGTGTTTCATTTAATGTGCATACCCCCTTGTAATACAAACCATTAATAGCGATTTGAATCTATGATTGTTTGTTAAACAACCCTTTATCCTAAGTTGAATAAAATTCTAAGATTTGAATGTTCAATTGGCAAAGTACAATTATGAGGATTCGTAATCTTAATTTCACTTTATTCGATTTACTTTTTTGTTTAGAGTGAAATTTAACCCAACCTGAAGAGGTTTTCAATTCTTTGAAGAGAGTCTTCCTTGGGGTACATATTATGCATTTTCCGGGCTGAAAATGTCCTGTGACAGTTGTATCAATGTTTAATAAAAGTATTGTACAATAAATAAAAATCTTATTTATTATACGGCCCCCACCTCGTGGAGTTACCTCCCGTTGCGCATGCGCACCAACTGGGTAAGCACCTAGGCCCGTATCATCATTCCTTCTGCTGAATAAATCAGTGAACAGAATTGCGGGGAATCGGGAGGCCCTACCCCAAGGACGACTATCTTCAAAGAATTGAAAACCTCTTCAGGTTTGGTTAATTCTTTTTCATAGAGATCGTCCTTGGGGTACATATTATGCATAAACACAGACTCTCAAAGACCGGAGGCCAGGGAGGAGGGAATTCTGTCAAGGCACACACAAATAGCGATCGTTAAGAATAATGCAAGATGCGCCATAATCACTCACCTGTCACATGTCCCGGTTTGCGCTTCCGCGAGAGGCATTATGGGAGGGTAACCGACAGGGAGGAAATGTACTCATAGACAACCTCGCAGGTAAGCATAAGAATTCGCACATGTTGCGAATGTAAACAAACCCCACCCACCTTGTGGTCGATTAGAGAGCACCGTAGGGGGGGAATAAACGCTCACGACCGACCATAGTCTCCGTAGAGGATCGAAAGGTCATACACCCAACAGGGGACATGTCAATAAAACACAATATTGAACAGCAGCGTCAACAAAACCAATGAACCAAGACTCACTCGGTCAGGGTGGCAGGACACTGTCCACTGGAGAGAACAGAACTGCCAAAGCTCGCACGATTACGGGAATGTGTATCGAGCTGATAATGCCGAATAAACGTGCTAGGCCGGCTCCAAATAGCGGCAGAGCAGATCTCTTCAATGGGGAGTGCCGATGCAAAAGCTTTTGACGTGGCTACTGCCCTGACGGAGTGACCCTTCAACCCTTCAGGGGGAGGCTTGCCCTTAGCCTGATACGCAGCACAAATGACCGAGACGAGCCAGCGAGACAGTCTGCTTGCTCGCCAGCACCCGAGCCTTCCCGCCACCGTAACAGCAGAACAGATGGGTACCCGTACGGATCCCCTGTGTTCGTTTGATATAGACCTTGAGAGTCTTACGGACATCCAACGGGTGAGTGCTCATAGGTGAGGTCCCCGATGTGGAAGGCTGGGTAAGAGTAGGAAGTTCGATAGGAGCTGTCACATGGAAAGTGTGATCGACCTTCGGGCGGTAGGTATCCGGGAGGCGAATACTGACACGATCAGTGTGAACACAGTCAGCGCCGGGTCGGACGACATAGCATGTAAGTCGCCAACCCTACGCCCAGATGTTACCGCCACCAGAAAAACAGCCTTCCAAGTTTACAACTGAATGGAAATAGCCGATAGACGTGAGAACGTAGGACCGGACTGCCAATCGAGCACAATTGACAAATCCCAAGGTGGGCTGGTTCGCCTGACAGCAGGTCGAACCCGATCCGCGCCAGCTAAAAAGCTCTGTACAAGAGGGTGCTGCCCCAGAAGAGCACCATCGACAGGGGTGTGAAAAGTGGAAATAGTGGTGGAGTAGCCACGAATGGTCGAAGCCGCCAGGCCTTCTTCCAAACGAGCTTGCAAAAACTCCAATACTCGGACTAAATCAGCAGAAAAGGGATCTGCAATCCCCCTAACTGAACACCAGCGCGCATAGCGGGACCACCTATCCTCATACTGAACGTTTGTCGAATCCCGCCTCGAAGCTAGAATTGTGTCTGTAACTGCTGCAGGAATTCCGCGTGCTTCGAGGCTAGACCTGACAGAGGCCAAGCCACCCACTGAATCCTTGGATTGGGGTGTGGCGCGCCGTTCTGAGTGAGAATGTCCGGTCGCAAAGGTAATAGAACAGGAGACTGAGCCAGAAACCTGAGAATTACCGGAAACCACTGTGTGACGGCCAAAGCGGTGCCAGTAGCACAAGCAGCCGAGCTGGCTGGGTGGACAGCTGTGAAAGGACACGGGGAATGAACGCCCAGAGCACTTTGCCCGTCCAATCCAGCAGGAAGGCGTTGGCAGCCAACGCCCTCGGGTCCAGTATTCGAGAGCAGAACACGGGTGTCTGATTCGTCCCGCCGGACGCAAACAGATCCAGCTGGAACGACCCGTACAACTGGGAGATAACTGAATATCTGCCGGTCGAGCATCCACTCGTGCGGGGCCAGGATCCGGCGAGAGAGAGTGTCTGCTCGCACGTTCTCCAGCCCCGGAGATAAACGGAGTACCTGACAATCGCACTGGTCGCACCAGAGGAGAAAGTCCCATGTCTCCCGAAGGAGCGCTCGGGACACCGTGCCGCCTTGCTTCAGGACGTACGACATGGCCGTCTGGTTGTCCAACTGAAGACAAACCACCTGGTCCTGGACATGCTCTCGGAAGCGCTCGAAAACCAACCGCACAGCTCTCAGTTCCAACACGTTGATGTGAGCTTTGTGAACACCCTGGGGGCAGTGGATATGCCGAAGGGGAGCACCGTGAATTGGTAACACATCCCGTCGTAAGAGAACCGAAGGTACTGCTTGAACGATGGATGTATAGGCACATGCAGATACGCATCCTTTAGGTCGATTGACATGAGCCAATCGCCGGGCTGAACAGAGGAGATCACCGAGCGCAGTGTCTCCATCTTGAAGGATGGAACCTCTAGCATGCGATTCAACCCCTTGAGGTTGGGAATGGGACGGAACCCGTCTTTCTTCGGAACGAGGAAGTACATGGAGTAAAATCCCGCCGGTTCCTCGCCCGGTGGTATGCGCTCGATAGCGGACTTGTCCAGCAAAGCCTGGACTTCGTAGCGCAGTATGTCCGCCCTTGCCTGACATGACGGCACCGGAGTGTGGCGTATGCCGGTGAAGTCGGGCGGACCTCGCTTCCACAGTGGTAGATGGCCGACACTGACGGTGGACAGCACCCAAGTGTTGCTTGTAGCCGTCTCCCACTCCGGCAGGAATAGAGAGGCGGCCTCCCACTGGGACGTTGGGTAAGAGTGCGTGAGTGGTCCCGAGTAGCGGAGCTGAGAGGGATTGACACGTCTACAGCCTGTTGGGTTAACAGGAGGTCAGGACCTCCCGTGCCCGCGAAAAGGCTGGGAGCCAGCCGAAGAGGACTGCTCTTTGCCCTTACCCTTTGCGGGACGGCTCCTCCGCCTACCCCTGCCTAGCGGCCAAAGCCAGCCAGCAGACTCGGGTGTAGGCCGCACCCCGGAGGAGGAAGCCAGAACGGGAGCGCGGGAGCGAGAAGACTGTTGGGGGGAGAAGACCGCGGTTGCTCCAACAAGGCCTTGGAGTCCTTGAAGGAGGTAGCTGTAGCGGCAGCCTCCCGGATGACCTGCTGTGCCCCAGGAAACGTCGCTCCCAGACGGTAGGGGAGGGCCAGCAAGGTCTGCTGTGTAGCTGCCGAGTACCGCGACGTTGACAGCCACAGCTTGCGCATCCCCATGACTGCGCACATCACCGTCGACGCGGCCGACCATAAGGAGTCGCGCGCGAGGTGGGTCTGCACTTCGGAAAGTTGACGGAGGAGAACGACATGCGGAGAAACGTCTCCAGCGGGCCCCTCCGCCTCCAGGGCCGACCTCTGAATCGAGGAGAGGTAGGCCTCGTGGACCACCACCCGCACCTGCTGCATAGCGTTCCGGTACACCTCCTCATAGGTCTGGTAAGCATGCTGCAGGGGGGCGCCCGAAAGGGCAAAAGGTGGCGTGAAACGCCCTTGCCTTGCAGCCAGAGCTGCTCCGGAAGCCTAGCCTCCCCCCAGGGCGACCGAAGTGAACACACATTCGTCGACCACTGGCACGAAGAACAGGGAATCTTCCCCCAGCTGGTACCTCCTGACAAGCTCTGGCAAGTCAAAGCAGAGGCGTGACCCAGCCAAGAGGGGATCCACCACGTCCTGCACTAAGGACGGTAGAATGCGGAGCAGCGTCTGGGTGGGTTACCTAGGGGCAAACGACTCGCCTGGTAAGCGGAACTCAGTCGAATCCGAGCGGCTGGTAGGCACCGCGGCCTGGGGAATGTACTCGGCAATGCGTTGCCGGACTTCCCTCAGAGCCGTCGAGAAACGGAAGGCACCCTCCGATTTCTCGACCCCCAATGTCCATGGACTTGGCGCCCGAGCCCGAGTCCGAGGCTGGGTCTCCTCGTGAAGAGGACCCGAACCCCCGGCCTAGCACCAGACACAGAGGGAAGGGAAGAACCGAAGCAGCGCCCTGCTTCAGTGCCCGACACCACGCTCGAACTCCAGTCCCGAGACGCAGGAGGAAGACCAGGCAAAACTGGTTCCTCCGCTCTCATGGGGCGGGATGAGGCAGGGACTGGAACTCCAGGAATCCTCAACGGACCCAACAATGGATCAACAGATGCCTCCAGGACGAGGGATCGAGCCGGGGTCGGCGATCCCACCCCCCAGACTCTCCGCCCCCTGCTCCAAGTGGGCGAGGAACTCCTGGCGGAGACCTCCAACCAACTCGTGAACAAGGGACTTAACGGAGTCCATGTGCTGCTGGAATAATTGCGTGATTAGAGACATGTCAAAGCCGCTAGGAGCAGTTGAAGGCACCTGACTGTGCGATTTAGCCTTTTTGCCTTTTGTTTTTTAGCTTTTTAGCTTTAGACGGGGGGGGGACCTGGGTCAGTTCCCCTCCCGCCTCTCGCATTTCCCTATAGAAGAGAAAGTCTGCAGCCCGCCTCTTCTGGGCGCGGGGGGGGAGAAGCCCATACATATCTCGCACGTGTCAGGGTTATGGCCGCCTTATTTAAGGCAAACTAGACACTTATCATGACGGTCTGCACGGGGAATACTTTGCCCGCGGACAGTACAACCGGGAAACGCCTGAAAGCAAACACACAAGCATGTAGCTAACAGCGGACCAGCAGCATAATATACACGTACAAAACATTGAAAATTACGTGAATGCTACCACGGGAAGAAATACTTGGTTAAAACGCAATATTACAACCACGTGGCACGCTAAACTTCCCGCCATGGAATAGCAACACGTGCGTTAACCACGGGAAAGTTTGCGTAAAATAATTAATACAAAAAGATTTTTATTTATTGTACAATATTTTTATTAAAAAACATTGATACAACTGTCACAGGACATTTTCAGCCCGGAAAATGCATAATATGTACCCCAAGGATGATCTCTATGAAAAAGAATCATCGGTACGTTTTCACTGCAAACAGACTATAGTAATTGCATACTTGGGTCACCCCGTCATTTTCATCCTTGAAATGATAGACTTTGTAAATTAGACTTTCATTTTCTCACTTTGTCAATCAACAGTAATCACATGTCTGACGTCACTAATGCACGTGCTTCTCTCGCTGTTCCTTTAGTTGCCACTGCGCCCTTGTAACAACTTGGAAATAAATAAATGACAGTTTCTTAAACTTTTTTATTTTGTGACAAAAAGTATCCAATTTTCTTTCTAGAGTTTGTCTGTTTTTATTGCAGTCCGCATTGGTTTGATTATTTTATGTCTATTTGTTTTTTTGTTAGATTGCAATTCATCGGTGTAATTTTGTCTCAAACGGACTGTAGTGATTACATAAATTGTCAGTGTCAGATAGCATCTCGAATGTGTTACATTTGACCACTTTCAAAATGGTATTGTGCATTCATCTCGACTGGAGATTCCCCACGATCACTCCACTGATGTCCACTACAAAGTACTCAACATCTTCATTACCATCATTAGCTGGGGTAAGTTGGATAAAAGGCAATGGTTTTACGAAATACTTGCTTGTACTTAGTGAGTTTAGTTTTAGCAATATTCCAACTGTATGGCATCGGTCTGTAAATAATTGAGTCTGGACCAGACAATGCTGCGATCAACATCATGAACATCGATCTATGCAACTGGGATACGATGACGTGTCAACCAACTCAGCGAGCCTGACCACCTGATCCCTTTGGTCGCTTCTTACAAGCATGGGTTGCTGAAGATCAATTCTAACCCGGATCTTCACGGGTCTGTACTTACTCAAACTCATGGCTTTGAGCCTCACCGTCTTGCCCGCAGCGATGGGAACCCCTGAGAGGGATCTGCCTAGCACGTCTACCATGACCACTTTGATGTGTGACTTGCTTTTAGGCGGTTTATTGCCTTGAAGCACCACCGGAGCGCTAACTCTGAAAGGAATTCAGAAACTGAATTTCATTCTCCATCACTAGTCCAGATCATGCTCCTTTTTACACCGCGACCGTCCTGATGAACCTCGGATAAAAGTCTAACCATGTCCCATTTGAAAAGTTTGTTTAATGCTGCAATCAGCAATATTTCAGGTACACGACATCAGTCCGTTAATACTGGCGTCAGAGCCACACATCACAAGCATTGATCTACGTAATTGGGGTACGATGACCTGCAACAATCTCGGCAAAACTGATCACCCGAGGTGTTAGTTTGGTTGTTTTACGCTGCACTCAGCAATATTCCAGCTGTATGGCGGCGGTCTGTAAATAATCGAGTCTGGACCAGACAATCCAATGATCAACATTACCACCATCGATCTACTTAAGTGGATTCGATGATGTGTCAACCAAGTCAGCGAACGTGACCACCCCGATCCCATCAGTCGCCTCCGACAAGCATGGGTTGCTGAAGACCAATTTTAACCTGGATCTTTGCTGTTCGGTCTGTGGAAGAGACCAGTGGCGCCCGTCACACACTTTACTAGTATACCACTTACATGACTTCACTTCCAGTTTCGGAAAACATGACTTGCAAAAACAGCTCACAGCCTCCTGCCATCACAAATCCGGTTTAACAGGAAAGTAAACATTTTTTTTAATTTTAAAATGTGCCATAACCCCTCAAACCGTCTTAAACCTTAAAGCACTTCGGGTTTACTAACACGTTGGTTCACACACAATAAATCATACCTTATCCTTTCTGCCGCCAGGGTTTGGATATATACTCCCCATCAAAAGTTTAGACTCACTAGTGTAAATGTGGGCACTTACTTCAGTCAACTGATCTAGATTTTGCAAAATCTCATACTGTTTAAAGGTACTGTTTACACATGAACTGATGTATTGTAAAACAAACTCGTAACGTTGAAAGGTTTTTGTCATGTGTTTTAAGACATGAAACTCCGTGAAAATGGGCTTATTCTTAAAACTTCACACCAAAACGTAACTGTTCACATGCACGATATTTGCACATGCTTTTCAGCAATTTGAGGAACGATCTTCGTGCAATTCATCTGCATAAAGTTTACAGTTGGTTCCACCAAGTTAATGGAGACATTCATCTTCGATATAACCATATATAATCACATAAAATATAGTGAGTGCTTTAAGTGAGTCTAAACTTTTGATGGGTAGTATGAGAAACAGTATGAATTGTCTGTCTGACTTACGGTGGGGCGATTTGGAGAGGTTCACTTCCCTTCTCCCCCTCAGGCTGGAAGGAACACGACAGTTTAAACTCATCTTCCGGGGAGTGGAGACGCTGGCCTGCTTCCCCAAATGAGACATGGATCTCCACCGTGAACACCTTGGCCTTTGGCTTTTTCTGAGGAAATGCGTTTCAACATACATTACACTAGGTCATACTTTTTTTTCATGTGTAGCCACCAAATTCTGAACATGGGTTGGTCGGTCGGTCGGTCGGTCGGTCGGGAAAAAACCCCAAAACTTGAGACAAAATTATCTGAATAATGTTCTTGACTGTCATTTATTGACATTCTTATTACAATTTCTGACGAAGATCAATCCTAACCCGGATCTTCACGTTCTCAACATATGGATACAAACCGCAAACACGCAAGGCGACGACCCCTTGCCCGGATACGATATTGGCAGCCCAAAGAAGACAAAATCCTCGGTGCTGAAGATAACCTCCTTTCCTCCCGCACAGATTGCCTTTGCTTCCATCCCGGTGTCGGTCATTATAGTGACGAAACCATCAGAGACACCATCAGTTCCACATTCAGGAGAAACTGAAGTCATAACACAACACATGACGCACGACGCATGACGCATGACGCATGACGCATGACGCACGACGCACGACGCACGACACGACGAACGACACACGACACACGACACACACGACATGATGCATGATGCATCGTCGGCCAAATGAATATGGTGTCAGCGAGTATTGTTTAACGTTTTAAATATTCCGGTAACAACAGCTGGGGACACCATAAATGGGCTTCACACATTGGACCCATGTGATGAATCGAACTCGTGTCTTCGGCGTGACGAGCGAACCCTTTAACCACTTGGCTACCTCACTAATGACGATATGTGGCAAGGTTAAACATTTTGTAGGATGGCTTTAGTGCGTTGTCTTTGTCAAAAAGCCGTCTCCTGTACTTAATTAACAAATACGTCTTCCCTCTATGGAGTGAGTGAGTGAGTTTAGTTTTACGCCGCACTAGGCAATATTCCAGCTATATGGCAGCTGTCTGTAAATAATCCACAGATCAACAGCATGAGCATCAATCTACGCAATTAGGAACCGATGACATGTGTGAACCAAGTCAGCGAGCCTGACCACCCGATCCTGTTAGTCGCCTCTTACGACAAGCATAGTCGCCTTTTGTGGCAAGCATGGGTTGAAGACCTATTCTACCCGGATCTTCAGGGGTCCCCTCTATGGAGCTCGGGACATGCTTTGAATAATGTTTCAGTAATATTAATGGTAATAGGAAAGCGACACAGTCGAGAAGAAAGTACCAAATGTACAAGTTATGATATATTATGTTGTTTGTTGTTTACCGCCGCACTCTACAATATTCCAGCTACATGGCGGCAGCATACGATACGATAGCATGTGGTAACCAACTCATGGAACCTGACTACACGATCCAGTTAGTCACCTCTTACGACAAGCATGGGTTGCTGAAGACCAATTCTAACCTTGATCTTCACGGGTCTTACGATATATCAAACAATAATGGACACGATGAGAATGTGATACGATGACAAGCACCATCCAAGTCCGATCACCTTCACGAGTGAGTTGGGTTTTACGCCGCTTTTAGCGATATTACAGTAATATTACGGCGGGGACACCAGAACCACCCGGGTCTTCGGCGTGACGAGCGAACGCTGTAACCACTGGGCTACCCCACCGCCACAAAACGAAGCAATGGTTGGAAATGCGTACAGCATGAATATGCATAAAGTAAAAGAATACAACGTACAATCGAGATGTTACAACATGCGTGCAACACCCTCAAATTCTCTTTGCGTACTGTACTTTCAGCTATTTCACACTAATATGGGCTGAAATTGTTCAGTGTACATTGCTGGGATTGTAACAGGTCTTTGGCCCGAGCTAAAAGGTTTTTAGCGAAAGGAAGTACTTACTGTCGAACACATAGCCAGGCGGAGCAGGAGCCCTGACCAACACCTGTGGGAATAGACATAGTGTCTTGCACTTAAAGGCACAATGTCACACCAAACTGCTCTAAAATACTTGATGCATTTCTCTCAATACTAACTGTCAGCCCTCCTCAGGGAAGCTACCATATAATATGTTAAAAATAAATTTAACCAAACCTGAAGAGGTTTTCAATCTTTCGAAGAGAGTCGTCCTTGGGGTACATATTATGCATTTTCCACGCTGAAAATGTCCTGTGACAGTTGTATCAATGTTTTTGAATAAAAATATTGTACAATAAATAAACTTTTTTATTTATTATACGGCCCCCACCTCGTGGAGTTACCTCCCGTTGCGCATGCGCACCAACTGGGTAATCACCTAGGCCCGTATCATCATTCCTTCTGCTGAATAAATCAGTGAACAGAATTGCGGGGAGGCGGGAGGCCCTACCCCAAGGACGACTCTCTTCGAAGAATTGAAAACCTCTTCAGGTTTGGTAAATTCTTTTCATAGAGATCGTCCTTGGGGTACATATTATGCATAAACACAGACTCCCAAAGACCGGAGGCCAGGGAGGAGGGAATTCTGTCCAAGAACATACAAATAGCTATCGTCAATTGAATAATGTAACAGACGCCATAACACTCACCTGTCACATGTCCCAGTTTTCGCTTCCGCGAGTGGCATTGTGGAAGGAGAACTGACAGGGAGGATTGTACTTAAAGACGACCTCAGAGGTAAACAAAGCCCCACCCACCTTGTGTCGATTAGTGAGCACCGTAGGGGGGGAATGTCAAAACGCTCACAACCGACCTAAATACTCTGTAGAGGATCGAAATGAGGTTATTTAGCTCCCAGAAGCGGATATGTCAATAAAACTCAGTATTGAACAGCAGCGTCAACAAAAACCAATGAACCAAGACTCACTCGGTCAGGGTGGCAGGACACTGTCCACTGGAGAGAACAGAACGGCCAAAGCTCGCACGATTACGGGAATGCGTATCGAGCTGATAATGCCGAATAAACGTGCTAGGCCGGCTCCAAATAGCGGCAGAGCAGATCTCTTCAATGGGGAGTGCCGATGCAAAAGCTTTTGATGCGGCTACTGCCCTGACCGAGTGAGCCTTCAACCCCTCAGGGGGAGGCTTGCCCTTAGCCTGATAAGCAGCACAAATACACGAAACTAGCCAGCGAGACAAAGTCTGCTTGCTCGCCGGCACACCAGCCTTCCCGCCACCGTAACAACAGAACAGCTGGGTACCCGTACGGATTCCCTGTGTTCGTTTGATATAGACCTTGAGAGTCTTACGGACATCCAACGGGTGAGTGCTCGTTGCAGAGGTCCCCGATGTGGAAGGCTGGGTAAGAGTGGGAAGTTCGATAGGAGCTGTCACATGGAAAGTGTGATCGACCTTCGGGCGGTAGTTATCCGGGAGGCGAATACTGACACGATCAGTGTGAAACACAGTCAGCGCCGGGTCGGACGACATAGCATGTAAATCGCCGACCCTACGCCCAGATGTTACCGCCACCAGAAAAACAGCCTTCCAAGTTTACAACTGAATGGAAATAGCCGATAGGTGTGAGAAAGTGGGACCGGACAGCCAATCGAGCACAATTGACAAATCCCAAGGTGGGCTGGTTCGCCTGACAGCAGGTCGAACCCGATCCGCGCCAGCTAAAAACGCTGTACGAGAGGGTGCTGCCCCAGAAGAGCACCATCGACAGGGGTGTGAAAAGTGGAAATAGTGGTGGAGTAGCCACGAATGGTCGAAGCCGCCAGGCCTTCTTCCAAACGGGCTTGCAAAAACTCCAATACTCGGACTAAATCAGCAGAAAAGGGATCTGCAATCCCCCTAACTGAACACCAGCGCGCATAGCGGGACCACCTATCCTCATACTGAACGTTTGTCGAATCCCGCCTCGAAGCCAGAATTGTGTCTGTAACTGCTGCAGGAATTCCGCGTGCCTCGAGGCTAGACCTGAGAGACCAAGCCACCCATTGAATCCTTGGATTGGGGTGGGGCGCTCCGTTCTGAGTGAGAATGTCCGGTCGTAAAGGTAATAGAACAGGAGGCTGAGGCAGAAACCTGAGAATTACCGGAAACCAGCTCTGTGACGGCCAAAGCGGTGCCAGTAGCACAAGCAGCCGAGCTGGCTGGGTGGACAGCTGTGAAAGGACACGGGGAATGAGTGGCAACGGAGGGAACGCCCAGAGCACTTTGCCCGTCCAATCCAGCATGAAGGCGTCGGCAGCCAACGCCCTCGGGTCCGGTATTCGAGAGCAGAACACGGGTGTCTGATTCGTCCCGCCGGACGCAAACAGATCCAGCTGGAACGACCCGTACAACTGGGAGATAACTCCGAACATCTGCCTGTCGAGCATCCACTCGTGCGGGGCCAGGATCCGGCGAGAGAGAGCGTCTGCTCGCACGTTCTCCAGCCCCGGGAGATAAGCAGGGAGTACCTGACAATCGCACTGGTCGCACCAGAGGAGAAAGTCCCATGTCTCCCGGAGGAGCGCTTGGGACACCGTGCCGCCTTGCTTCAGGATGTACGACACAGTTGGTCTGGTTGTCCAACTGAATACGAACCACCTGGCCCTGGACATGCTCTCGGAAGCGCTCGAAAACCAACCGCACAGCTCTCAGTTCCAACACGTTGATGTGAAGGTGGGCTTCGGCTTCGGACCAGAGTCTGGACACCGACAGACTGCCAAGAACACCCCACCCAGCCCGTGAGGGACGCATCGGTCTGAACTGTAAGAGCTGGCGTCGGGATTTCCAAGGGGATCCCCTGGTGAGATTCCCGACATTGGTCCACCACTGAAGGTGAGGTGTCAACCACCCGGGGACTGAGACTCTGCTCCAGGTCCTCCGAGTGAGCCCACCGACTCGCCAAAGCTTACTGTATAGGGCGCATCCTCAACCGCGCCCACCACACTACAGAGATCATCGCCGCCATATGGCCCAGTAGACTGAGCCAAGTCCGTGCTGGTGCCTGGGGCTGGGAGAGGAACGAAGACACCATCTCCTGTACTCTAGTGACCCGGTCGGGCGACAAGGAAACGAGATCCTTGTGTGTTTGGAACCTCGCCCTGAGAAAAACCAAGTCCTGGGTGGGTACCAGGTCGGATTTCTTGAGGTTGATGATCCACCCCAGTCGAACTAGAATGTCTATCACCGTGTGAGTAGCATCTAGGCTCGCTGGCTGTGTTAGTGCTCCGAGCAACCAGTCGAGGTAAGGGTAACAACGCCTTCCTTGCGAGCGAGGGTAGCCGGCACTAACATGAGCTTGGTGAACACCCTTGGGGCAGTGAATATGCCGAAGGGGAGCACCGTGAATTGGTAACACATCCCGTCGTAAGAGAACCGAAGGTACTGCTTGAACGATGGATGTATGGGCACATGCAGATACGCATCCTTGAGGTCGATTGACGTGAGCCAATCGCCAGGCTGAACAGAGGAGATCACCGAGCGCAGTGTCTCCATCTTGAAGGATGGAACTTCGAGCATGCGATTCAACCCCTTGAGGTTGGGAATGGGACGGAACCCGCCGTCTTTCTTCGGGACGAGGAAGTACGTGGAGTAAAATCCCGCCGGTTCCTCTCCCGGTGGTAGGCGCTCGATTGCGGACTTGTCCAGCAAAGCCTGGACTTCGTCGCGCAATATGTCCGCCCTTGCCTGACATGACGGCACCGGAGTGCGGCGTATGCCGGTGAAGTCTGGCGGACCTCGCTTCCACAGTGGTAGATGGCCGACACTGACGGTGGACAGCACCCAAGTGTTGTTTGTAGCCTTCTCCCACACCGGCAGGAATAGAGAGAGGCGGCCTCCCACTGGGACGTTGGGTAAGAGCGCGTGAGTGGTCCCGAGTAGCGGAGCTGACTGGGAGTGACACACGGCTGGGTCTACAGCCTGATGGGTTAACGGGAGGTCGGGGCAGACCTCCCGCGCCCGCGAAAAGGCTGGGAGCTAGGGGAAGAGGACTGCTCTTTGCCCTTACCCTTGGTGGACCGGTTCCTCCGCCTACCCCTGCCAAGCGGCCGAAGCCAGCCAGCGGACTCGGGTGTAGGCTGCACCATGGCGGAGGAAGGTGGATCGGGAGCGCGGGGGCGAGAAGCCCGCGGGTGCTCCAACAAGGCCTTAGAATCCTTGAAGGAGGTAGCTGCAGCGGCAGCCTCCCGTATGACCTGCTGTGCCCCAGGATACAGCGTCGCTCCCAGACGGTAGGGAAGGGCCAGCAAGGTCTGCTGTGTAGCTGCCGAGTACCGAGACGTTGACAGCCACAGCTTGCGCATCCCCATGACTGCGCACATCACCGTCGACGCAGCTCACCGCAAGGAGTCACGCGCGAGGTGTGCCTGGACTTTGGGTAACTGACGGAGTAGCACGACATGCGGAGATACGTCTCCAGCATGCCCCTCCGCCTCCAGGGCCAACCTCTGGATCGAGGAGAGGTAGGCCTCATGGACCACGACCCGCACCTGCTGCATAGCGTTCCGGTAGGCCTCCTCGTAGGTCCGGTACGCATGCTGCAGGGGGGCGCCCTCGAGGGCAAACGGTGGTGTTAAACGCCCTTGCCGAGCAGCCAGAGCTGCTCCAGAGGAAGCCGAGCCTCCCCCCAAGGTGACCGAAGTAAACACGCACTCATCCACCATTGGAACAGCGAACAGGGAATCCTCCCCAAGCTGGTACCTCCTGACAAGCTCAGGCAAGTCGAAACGGAGGCGAGACCCAGACAGGAGGGGATCGACCACGTCCTGGACCAACGACGGTAGAATACGGAGCAGCGTCTGCGTAGGCTGCCGAGGGGCAAACGCCTCGCCTGGCAGGTGGAACTCAGACGAGTCCGAGCAGCTGGCAGGCACAGCGGCCTGGGGTAGGAACTCGGCAATGCGTTGCCGGACCTCCCGCAAAGCCGACGAAAAACGGAAGGCACCCTCCTGCTCCTCAACCTCCCCAGTATCCATGGACTCGGCGCCCGAGCCCGAGTCCGAGGCTGGGTCTCCTCGCAAAGAGGACCCAAACCCCAACCCGGTGGGCGGCCTAGCACCAGGCACAGAAGAGAGGGAGGAGCAGACAGAGCGCCCCACGTCAGCACCTGCCATCACGAACGGACGCCGGTCCCGAGACGCTGGAGGCAGACCAGGCAGAACTGGTGCCTCCGCTCTCATGGGGCGGGACGGCGCAGGGATCGGAACCCCAGGAATCATCAACGGCCCCTGCGCCAACTCCGAGAGGGGGACTGGGAGCGAAGCCTCCCCCTCCGGGGCAGCCAAGGCATCCGGACCCGAAGCCAGAGGCAACGGATCTACAGACGCCTCAAGGCTGAGGGATCGAGCCGGGCTCGGCGATCCCACCCCCAGACTCTCCGCCCCCTGCCCAGAGTGGGCGAGGAACTCCTGCCGTAGCCCTCGAAACCGACTCATGAACAAGGGACTTCACCGAGTCCACGTGCTGCTGGAATAACTGAGTAATGATAGACATATCAAAACCGCTACTAGGAGCGGGAGAAGGCGACTGGCTTCGCGACTTTTTGCCTTTACTGCGAGGCTTTTTCGCTTTGGACGGGGGGACCTCGGTCAGTTCCCCTCCCGCCTCACACATCTCTCTATAGAAGAGAAAATCCGCCGCCCTTCTCTTCTGGGCCCGGGGGGAAAAACCCATGCAAATCTCACAGGTTTCTGAGATATGGTCAGTTTTCTCCAAGCACACGATGCATTTATCATGGCGGTCGGCCCTGGGTATGCTTTGCCCACAGACCGAACAGGAGGAAAAGGCCTGAAAGCAAACACGCAAGCATGTAGCTAACAGCGGACCAGCAGCTAAGATACACGTAGAAAACATTGAAAAATACGTGAAGGCTACCACTGGAAGAAATAGTTGGTTCAATACGCAATATTACAACCACGTGGCACGCTAAACTTCCCGCCATGGCAGAGCAACATGTGCTTAAACCACGGGAAAGTGAGCGTAAAATAATTAATACAAAGTCACAATTATGAAACAACCGACCGCGAAGCTTTACTGTTCCTTTCAACGACAAATAAAGACCATACATACAGGTGGTGTCGTCTCAGACATAGTTCTCTTGAGTTCTCTATTTGAAGAGTACAGCGCTGCTCTACACATTACACGTCTACACACGAGTGACAGCAGAAGGAATGATGATACGGGCCTAGGTGATTACCCAGTTGGTGCGCATGCGCAACGGGAGGTAACTCCACGAGGTGGGGGCCGCATAATAAATAAAAAAGTTTATTTATTGTACAATATTTTTATTCAAAAACATTGATACAACTGTCACAGGACATTTTCAGCGTGGAAAATGCATAATATGTACCCCAAGGACGATCTCTAGGAAGAAGAATACGTATTTAGATTACAATATCAAATTAAAAGGTTCGAATGAATTAATGCAACGTTGCATTAAATCGACTCTCGCGCCCTCTACCGGCCGCATATTTCAAGCGAACCCCATCGAGTTATGTCCTTTGGGGCGCTCTTTACGAATATCCTACTCAAAACTTATGACTGAAACCACTTCAGGCAAGTCGTTCGGTATAATAAGTTTTTATTGCATCAATAGGAAGCTAAAGTGAGAGCATATGCCCCTTACATATATATAACATAGGCCAAAATATTGTGAAACATGTGTGACCATGTGCCTTTAAACAGTAATGTATGAAGGTTTTGGAAACCACGATTGTTAATTCGGGTGGTTTCATTGTTAAATGGTACTGTCCACCAAAAGGAGTGGACATTGTCCAACACGTGAGGTAGTGGTCAAGCTAATGTCGAACACAATTTTTACAAATTGATACAAGACCAACAGGACATGTGCTTAGACTTCTCCCAAATGTCAGATCAATTCTTGGCTTACGTTTCGCTGTTTCTTACGAGGGAGGACCACTGGTTAGTAGAACAGCCAGGTGTGCGAGTTGTACGAGTGAAATTGAAATTTCACTGCACACGCTTGCTGATTACCTGGCTGTTCTACCAGCAAGTGGTCCCCCTTCGTTACAAATAGCGAAAAGCGACAACAAAATAATGATCGTTTGTTAAACAACTTTTTTATTCGGGTGTCAAAATTATGAGACAATGCAGAGTTGGTCTGTGGATTTCATGCGACTGCAAAATTTGGTTTTGTTGCAATTATTAGATTTTGTGTTAGTGAGCAATTCATCGGTCTCAAATGGAGTAAAACGGACTATAGACTTTCGGAAGCTTAAGACGAAAAAGTAACCTTTGGAGGCAATGGCTGAAAACAGTCCGTCTCTCAAATCCCAGCGCCTGTCAAACCTAAGCATGGACAGGAATTGTTTGACATTTTTGACACCGCACATGGGTTTCTCACACAGATATGTAAAAGCATGAGCTTAAGTAAATACTGACCATCAAGCCGAACACCATCAAGACAATGCATGCAGTCATCGTTCACCTGCAACAGACATTCATGGTAATAACTTGCTTCTGTGAATAGGTTCCAGGATGGGATGTCCGCTCATGTATTGCATTGCTAAAGCATCGGTAAGGATACGGAATGCATGGGGTTTACATGCATGGGGTTTACATGCATGTACATGCACGAGTCTGGTGCATGCGTCGTGGAGGGGAAAGAAAGTCTCGACAAGATTTCGGTCACCAAGTTTAAATGGCATAGGCTGTTATCAGTGCAATAAAGTGTACATTGATGCAGTGCATCAATTGTTCCCCTCCGAAATATCGCCGCCTCAATAACAAAAGTGAAAGGATAACATACGTTACATGATTCTGCATCATAATTAGATAAACATAACATTAAAAAGCAAGATGCAAAAATAAACTGATGCAAGTTTTTCGGTTTATTTCCATTTCAACATATTGTCTGGGATAGTCAACCGGTCATGTTTTCACGATCGAAACCAGTTGCTGTTATCTGAGAATGAACAGTGCGAGTTAAAAGCTTGACCTTAGTTCATATGTAACCGGACATTAACAAGCGAGTCCGGTAATTCCGCGCAGCTGCAATAGCTTACTTCCGTATCGAAGGTAAACATAGTCTGCTACCACATTTATGCTTGAAATCGGGACATTTCTACAAGGGACTGGCTTTTAATCACTAAAGGCAAGTAAATAACAGTAACTGACAAATACATTGACAGTTTTATGAAAATTCGTTTACTTCAAACTTTTAAACCTTTTTCTTCATAATTTGATTTAATATGAAACTCTTCCTTACATTGATGAAGTGATTTTTAAAATAATCTGGCCCTAATACGCTTCCATACGGATCTCCAGCTGGATGTTATGCGCATCAGTTGCTGCGCAGAATTACCGGACAGCAAGCGATGTCGTCAGAACGCCGGTAAGGTCAACAGTATGGCATAACGCACCGTTAGAATCTTAGTCGTCAATAAAACTTATATTTCTAGGTAAATATGATGCACACCTGCATGTTTAGTCACGTAAACCACAAAATAAGAGACGTTAGTTGCCGTGTTGCGATCGATGTGCTTAGGTACGCGGAATTACCGGACGTCAGGGTCCGGTAAGATTGTCACGAGTTCAATAAATGATGAAACAGTGAAAATTGGTGAATTCTTAACGAAACTTTACCCCAAACGCATCTGTTCACATGCACGATATTTGCACGTTTTAAAGCAATTTGATGCATGATCCTCGTGCAATTCATCTGCATAAGGTTTGCAGTTGGTTACTGGAGAAATTCATCTTAGATGTAACCATATGTATGTACATAACATATCGTGATTGCTTTAAGTGAGTCTAAACTTTTGATGGGTAGTATATGTTGGTTTCTGAGCGCCACACACAACAGTTTTCCAGCTTTACGCGGTGGTCTATAAATATTGAAGTGTTGACCAGACAATCTGGCAACAGATCTCATGAGCAAGACTTTTCTCGTTTGGGATACGGCGACATGCAACAACCGAGTATTAAGAACTGGGAGGTATTTGTAACCTGCCTACCACTATAGGACTAGAGTTATTTTAGTTTAATTCAGTGTTCTCTTACCGTTATGCTCTCACCAAGACGGTTTCTTTGTCAACTGTCTCCGAGAGTTACGGAGTTACGTAAAGGGAGAAACGCAAACCTCGTGAAATTACGGATTTGGTGCGTTTTGGTGATTCCGTAACATGAACTGTTCTCGGTGTTTCGTTCTCTGGACAAATAGACCAGTTATTTCTTAACATGAATGAGTGAGTGAGTTTAGTTTTACGCCACACTCAGCAATATTCGAGCCATATGGCGGTGGTCTGTAAATAATCGAGTCTGGACCAGAAAATCCAGTGATCAACAGCATGAGCATCGATCTGCGGGAACCGATGACATGTGTCAACCAAGTCAGCGAGCTTGACCACCCGATCCCGTTAGTCGCCTCTTACGACAAGCACAGTCGCCTTTTGTGACAAGCATAGGTTGCTGAAGACCTGTTCTACCCCGGATCTTCACGGGTCCTTAACATGGATGAATTGTTGATAGCAGAGTCCAAGAATATTAAAGTTTGTGTCTTAATTTGCTATATTTCAGCTACATTTTTCCCATTTTGAAAACTTGTGTCCCTGCTGGGTGCACGTGGACCCGGATACCCTAACTATGCACGAACAGTTAGAAACATTTATTTTTATACAGTTAAATAGTATGATAATTGGAACATGTCTTCTATACATTTTGTAAATTGCTATAGAAATTGCCATATTTATTTTCAGACGAAACATTTGGCTTGGTTAATTTACGTATACCTCTATGATTGTGAAAAACAGAAACCGACATTCGATTAATATACATGCTTACGATATAGTCCAAATTGTACAATGGAGAGGCGGTGGGGTAGCCTAGTGGTTACATCCTTCGCTCGTTACTCCAAAGACCCGGGTTCGATTCCCCACATGGGTAGAATGTGTGAATCATATTTCTGGTGTCCCCGCTGTGATATTGCAGTAATAATGCCAAAAGCGGCATAAAACTAAACTCACTCACTCAATGTACAATGGAATGTTCATAACAGACTTTTTGTTTACCACATTGGATGTGTTTTGTCGGTTTTATTTTTAATTATGTGTTAGTAAGTTCCACAATAGTGTATATCAGTGGGGTTTAGAGTACTCTATGTAGCTAGAGGCCCACCATCATCATCACCACCATGAAACCTTGCTTGGAATTGTTGTCCAATTGAAAATATTGATACAATCTTCCATGAAACAGTTTCTTTGAGATGTTTTCTGAGGGGAGTGAGCAGAGTCAATGGAAGAACATCAGTTGTCGTTTGTGTATCATGCTCTAACTCATAACAGCCAGTTTATCATGCTCTAACACATATCATTTCTCTTCCGGAGCTGGAATCCTTGCAGTGATTTCGCCATGTAATGCTATATTGGAGAAAGGTGTCTGATATCTTCTCAGGAAAGTTGAGTCCAGAGTTCACATCCATACAACATGCATGGCAATATGGTCTTGTGTACAGTGCTTGCAGATATCAACTGGTTGACTCCTTTGGGTTTCAATCCTATTCCCATCAGAGCATGCTTTAGCTTTCTTGCAGAAGTGAGTCATACTTCTTATGGCCAAAGACGACAAGATGAAACTGTGAAGGATTGAGTTCATAACTCCACTTCCTAGCATATTGAGAGACAATATCTAGCATCGACTGAAGGGCACTTGGGGATAAGGCTAACAAGGTGACGTCATCAGCTAAGCTTGGATTACCATGACTCAGATCCATGACACTGACACGACAGTTTGAAGTTTCGATTTGATCAAGGAGTTCGTCTATGAATATGAGGGTTGTAGATAGGACTCCTCCCTGTTTTACCCCTTGTTGTATTGAGAATGATCTTGACTGGGCTCCATTCACTGCAGCTGAGCTTCTCAGATCTGTATAGGCATTGAATAGAAGCTTCCATGAGAGTACCGTGATCCCGAGCTGGTGTAACAGTCCACTGCTAGACAGTGTCGAAGGCACGTTTATTATCCAAGGATGCTGCATACACGTTGTTGTCTGGTTCATTGCTGTAGTGGATAGACTCCGTAAGGTTGAATTCTGTAGTTGTACTGCCAATTCCACTTTTCGGAAGTGGAATGGTGTTTTGCTGGATCCGCTTTGTGAGTCTATTGTAGAGTAGCCCTCGTATGGGTGAGTGAGTTTAGTTTTACGCCGCACTCAGCAATATCCCAGCTATATGGCGGCGGTATGTAATAATGGAGTCTGGACCAGACAATCCAGTGATCAACAACATGAGCATCGATCTGCACAATTGGGATACGATGACATGTGTCAACTAAGTCAGTGAGCCTGACCACCCAATCCCGTTAGTTGTCTCTTACGACAAGCATGGGTTACTGAAGATCAATATTCTAAACCGGACCTTCACGGGTAGAAGCGCCTCGAACAGTGTGTATATGACTGGAAGTAACGTGAATTTTAGGTTTGTTGCTACCTTTATGGATTGGAATGATGATTACTAACTTTGTAATTTTTTAGGTTTAACTCTGGTAAGGTATCTGGTTCACTGAGGCCGTGATGTGAAGAGTCTAATGATATTAGCTTTAGCATTTCAGAGTTCTTCAGGTCAAATTGTTTGTCAAAGTTTGCATCGTCAAGGGGTGAATGAACACTTTGACTGAAATCAGCAAATGCGTTGGCTATTTCAGTTGGGACGCAGATCTCTGTGTTGTTAACCTTAAGGTGAACACAATAGTTGGTTTGTTTTCCATGTCTCTTGTTAATCATTTTCTAAAAGAATCGGAGGTCACATTCAAACGAATCCTCAAATTCTTGAAGTGATGATTCAGATAGTGCCTGTATGGCATACGTTTTTTTCTGAAATCATGTTTGAGACGGAAGCTGTCATTTCCAATTGCTTCACTGATCCACAACTGTCGTGCTTGTCTTTGTAGAGCATGGATATGTTTAAGTTCTTCTGACCAATCTGGTTTAGTGTGAGGATTAGTTCGAGAGGCTGGTAGGACAGCACCACTTGCATTGATGATACTCTCAACGATATGTTGATATTTCACATTAACATGGGAAGCACTGTCGTCACAGATGTTACGGGTGTGATGTCAGTAGTTGAGTCATGACGAAGATTCAGAGACAAAGAGAGTGGTGAATGGGCTGACACACAGTTGAGGTCGTCCTCTGGGTGTATGGTGAAGTCTGATGTAACACACGTTCCTCGGGTGCTAATATGTGATCAGGCATAGACAGGGATAAATGTGTACCCTAAACCTTAATCTTTATTTGCACTGAGAAGGCCACAGGCCTAAAGTACATAAAGTTATGTTACATTTGAGAGGAATTTAGATCAGGTAAACATAGCATAGTAAATGAACATTGAAATATTTTGGAGAAGAACTAAATTTTTACTACTTAACAGTGAGGAGAATTTTGTTAGATGTGGATGGACATAGTAACATCTTTTAATATATTTGATTCGCAACCGGTAATAAAATGGACATAGTAGGAGGAAATGTAATTCATCTTCTATTTCGTTTAAATTACAAAGTGTACATAATATATATATTTTCACTTTTTACATTCATATATCTGCCTCTTTTAATAAACAAATCATGAGAAGAACATCTGAATCGTGTCAGTGCTATTCTAAACCGTTTTACATTAACACAGGATAGATATGACTCAATGGCTATGGCAGTTTTAAACAATGAATATACATGTATTTATTTGTTTGAATATACATATGATCTGTTTGATTGGCATTTAGAAGTTGGTGACTAATAAGAAAGTAAGAAAGTTTTTGGATAACAACTTCTTTATTATATATGATGCGACGTTTCGGTATGGATTCTTATACCGTTGTCAAGCAAGAGTGAAGTGGCATTATCTCCACCCTCACCAGACGAGCCATCAACCTTTCCTCTACCAGTCCCACTACAGAAATACAGCACCTCCGCCATGTTTTCACCAAGTTCAACCACTACCCGTCGAAACTATTCGATAAAATTATCAGCACCACACTCCACCCAACAAGAAAACCGGCCTCCAAAAAACCTGAACCAGCACCTATTCGTATCTCCCTCCCCTTCATAGGGAAAACCTCTCACCACATCAGCCGTCTCCTCAAGTGAGAAGCAGGCATCGAAACCTACTTTACCAGCTCTACACCACTAAAAACCCTACTGAAAGCGAATGGCAGGAACACCTCTAAACGACAACATCAACCCAAAGGGTTTTTTTCTATAAAATCAACTGTGACTGTGGCGAGGCCTATGTAGGCGAAACCTCCCGGCCCATAAATATTAGAATCAAAGAACACTTATCATCTACCACTAAATCTGATAGAAAATCAGCAATATCAGACCACATCATCAACTGCCCCAATCACAACATAATTTGGGGCAATGTGGAGATATTATCCAAAAACCACCAGGACTTCACCAAAAGGAAACTTGCAGAAGCAGTTCAAATCCGGAGACACAAGCCCTCAATCAACAGAGACCAGGGATATCTCATCCCTTCTGCATACAATGATCTCATAAAAACAACAGATTAGAGCACCTCAGCCATCATTGTTAATTAATCTCATCAGCATGTATATTTTGTTTTTTACCTCCACCACCATTGGCTTCCTATTGTCACTACATTATTGCCACCGTGCCTTGTTGTTATTGTTAATCCCCCTCATTCAGTCCTACATGTTGTTATTACTTAATCCCTGTTCATGTATATAAGTCTGTTCTGTGCTGTAGTACTTCACTCTTGCTTGACAACGGTATAAGAATCCATACCGAAACGTCGCATCATATATAATAAAGAAGTTGTTATCCAAAAACTTTCTTACTTTCTTATGAATATACATATCTTTGAAATTTGTCGTTAAGGATTGTATGAATAATGTAGGTGATTCGACATATTGTGCATTCCATGTAATTCTAAAACCAATAGAATATAGAAAGTTTTTTTTACATTAGTTGCCCAGTTTATTTGTCCACTTTTATCATATAACAACATCGAAATAACACTTCTTGGGTAAGCGATTTGAAGGCATAATCAACAGTTTTAGCCAATATTTAATAAGTTTAATGCTTGTAAGAATGTGCATTGGATACCTACAGCATTCACCATTAATAGTGATAATGTTAACTCTGAGAAGTTTTTTTGCATGCATACAAATGGATTTTTTCAGTTTCGTCAAATTTCGTTATTCCCCAAATTTCGGCTCCATATGATAGAATTGGACTTACTTTGGCATCAATTATTTTAAAGAATGAAGAGTAGTAAATGTTACCAAGTACACTCAGCTGTTTCATAATTCCAATTAATGCTTTTTGTCCCTGTAACGCTGCATATTTTACATGCATCGTCCATGACAGGCCACTGGTGAAATACAATCCCAAATATTTATAAAAGCCAATACACTCCAGCTTCATACTTTTATATAACCAGTTTTCCTTTTTAGACAATTTGCCTCCATTTTGAATACAACAATTTTCGTTTTTTCTCTATTTACAGTTAATTTCCATTTATCGCAGTAACTTCCAAGTTCATTAATTTGATTCTGTAAGCCATTAATCGTGCTTGAGAATATAACAATGACATCTGCAAATAACAATAGGAAAATATGAACTATATCAGGGTGGAGTTGAATCCCGTGTACACAATTCGTTTCGACTTGTGCCAACTCATTTATGAAAAAGGAAAATAGAAATGGGCTTAGTATACAACCTTGTCTTACACCATTTTGCATGTCAAATGTTTCTGAGAAATTATGATTACTTTTTAATGCAGGCCTTAACCTTTGCATAAATATTGCATAAAAGTTTACTCATTTTACCACTGAGGCCGTGGGTATAAAATAGAAGCCAAAGTATTTTTCGTTGTACTGAATCAAAAGCTTTTGAAAAATCTACAAATAATGTTTAGAATTGTCCCCTTTTTGTTTTAGATACTTTTGAATAATACTTATTATCTACTGTCGTATATCCCTGTCTGAAGCCAGCTTTATACCCGATTCCGTTAGTCGGCTCTTACAAGTATGGGTTACTGAAGACCCATTCTAACCCGGATCCTCACGGGTAAAAAAACCCAGCAAACCATAACTGTTCAAGATATGATTATCATTACATATAAGACTTGTGTAAAAACACTGTATATTGTAGTTATAAGATCAATTCAATTTATCATCGTAATTTTTAACACTTATTGTTCGCTCCAGTAATCAGTTCGAATTTTGCCGCGATCTACAGGTTACGTCATAAATAAATGTGCAGTTGATTCTGAGATTTATGTTTATGTTATAATGTATTATAGTATAAATGACTATTTCATAATACTAAGGCATGTTACTGGACATTTGGTAGACTGCTATACGTATTTCCAAGTAGAAGTGACATGATCCATATCATCTCATTCCAAATCAGTTGCAGAAATAACAGACTGAACATTTTGAGAGTTAGAGAGTGAGAGTTTTGGGGACATTTTACGATTCCATAAACGTTTATTACAGTTCTGACAATTACAGCGCAGCATTATTGGCTCTGCCTTTGCACATAGTAATGATTTTAAAAGTTTATCAATTAAAAATGTAGAAACTATAGAAGTAATATAAACGGTCAAAACTGACGAGCAGTCACTATAGCATACGTCCTTGTAGTTACTTCACTCATACTTGTAATGTCAAATGAGTAAAGATTTGTGATGACTTTCTTTAAAACCCGTTATATCTATAGATCTCTTCAAAACCGACGGTTTGGATGCAAACATTCTGAGGACCACGTCCCCCAGCAGAAGCAAAGTGTCATTTAGTTCTGAGCAGTTTGTTTATGAGCATCCGCCAAACTAATGTTTCGTGCGAGTTACATTCTGTTGATGTCCATTTGGGTACATGGGCGAAGAGCAACATGTGTTAGGCCATATATACTCCTCACAAAAAAAATTCAGCAACAAGTATTTTCAGTGTAATATATTTATCGATCTCGATATAGATTTTTGCCAACATGTTACTGAAAGGTAAATATTCAAAGAATACATAACCTTCAGTGACTGTCAAATTGATTTATCGGATAACATGGATATCACCGGAACACTACCACCCTCAGATCCATGTAAAATGTGTGTCATGAATGTGCTCCACTCTTCATGCATGCACCCTGATCGGTGTAAACCTACCTGTAAGCATTCCTCTGCTACAAGCGGGTCCTAACTTCATCTTTATGGATGATGCCCGAGAAAGTTTGTTAATGATGTCTAGAACAACAAAATCACACATATGGACTGGCCTGCAAGGTCACCTGCTCTTAATCCCATTGAACATTATAGAAAATCCTGTTTACGGTCTCCATGTTCACCCCAAGACGGGATGACCTTGAGCAGGCGTTACAGAGAATGGCAGAACATTCCACAACAGCAACTTTAAAGGCTCATTTGGTCAATGCAAACACTTGTAGAAGCCTGCGTTTGTGCTCACGGTCATACGCGTTACTGAACACTGTTAAGAACGGACTGGAACCTTATTGTTAACATTTTGCTCCATCAGTGCAGCTCAGTTTGCACGACTGTTTCACGGGTACATGCTTTTGATGATTTGTTAGTATCATTGCCCATGATCATTTCATGTTGTTAATCGTGTGTACATATGTTTCACCTTTCTATTGCATCATTCCATGACTTGCAATTTCAATAAATGAAAATGTAATGACTAAATATTTGTGTTGCTTAACTGGAGTATATACAAAAATTCAAATACTCCTTTCTCATTAACGGCCGACCCAAAATGCAACCCGACCCGGACGTTTGCACTGCCAAGTTCTAATTTTCTGAGGAAAGGTGTAAATTTCCACAGAAAGCAAGGGGTGTTGGACACGATATAACATTTAATACAATCGGCCGCCCCACCAGTATTTTGAAAACTGATGAGAAACAAGATTGTTTTTTTAAATGTGGCTTTACCTAGCACCGACCACGAGGGGCTTGCCTCAATATTGCCAGAGGGTGTCACTATGACTTTTATCGTTAAGATTTGTCACAATGATTGTCCTTTTATGAAATACCACTAGTGACCGCACCAGTACCTGGTGTTGCCAGCCTTGCAGGGACAAAAGTCTCATACTGGCGATCAAGCATCGAATTGTCGGCATTGCAATTCACTACCATTCCTCACGAGTGGCTTTGTCCTCTCCTGCACAGGACGATCAAGCTCGAAAGTGGATTGAGGATTGTCGGTGTACGGCATCTCATGGTACGTGCAACAGCCAAAATAGACTGGCCGGCGTGGAGCATGCAAATTGCACGTCACCAATGCTAAGGCGTGGTAATTTTGTTAGTCTTCAGGATTAAAAGTGTTCTTTTAAAAAATAACAGCACTTTCTGTACGCGTTGGTGGTTAGGCACCTGAAAATTGTGGTTCAGAGACCCCGCAGAAGTGCAAGTCGAGTTTTCACAAACGAGAATATGTTTTACCCCAACAGATGAAATGTGCGGCGTCAGGTTGGATCTGGCCATTTGTGTTCGCCCCCATATAAAGTACCTTGTGCTCCTATTTCTCAAGTCAATTGATTTCTGCGAGTGTAAAGTTGTTTAGTATGAGAAACAACTATCAATGGCATTGTTGGAACCAGTTGTGGTCCTTTGCACGAAACTTTCATGTTTTATCTGACAGCAAGGAGTTACGAATACCGTGGCCCAGCTTCTTGCTTCAGATATGCATTGCGAGTTTGACCTGAACTTTACACAATCAGGTGTAAAACATATTGGGCATATAAACTACCCATCAAAGGTTTAGACTCACTGGTGTATATGTAGCCACTTACTTCAGTCCAACTTTTCTAACCTGGATTTTGCAAAATATTCCATTCAGTTGGTACTGTTTACACATGAACGATGCATTGTAAAACAAAATCGTAACGTTGAAAAAAGATTATCGTCATGACTTCAGTAAATGATAAAAATCAGTAAAAATTGGCGAAATCTTAACAAAACTTCACACCAAAACGCAGCTGTTCACATGAACGTGATTTGCACATTTTTAGCAATGTGATGCATGATCCTCGTAGAATTCATCTGCATAACGTTTGCAGTTGGTTCCTACAAGTTAAATGAGAAATTCTTCTCCTATGCAACTATATTTATATTTGTAAAGAACATAGCGAGTGCTTTAAGCGAGTCTAAATTTTTGATGGGTAGTATATACGACTAATGCGGTGCTAAATGCAGGATATCTATGTATCTACTGAACAGTCGGGAGGGCGATGGATGGATATGTATTGTATTGAAAGACTTGTTTTTGTTAACGTGAACAAGGTCGTGTAAAAACTAATCTCCAAAATAAGACTAACGTTTATTGACAACCAACCACCCTGTACATTTTTCAACCTTTATAGGTTGTGTAGGTCACGGGACAACCTAGATGAACGACGCTGGTTGGTGTTGACGTTGTGCTGGACAGTAAATCCGTTGTCCGTCAAGGTGTAAGGTTCTGTGATCATATTGGTCTTCCATCCGGATATGAAAGACTGCAGTCTTCCAACTGAAAACATGAAGCACGTCTCGATTGTTTAACACAGCCATGGGCAAGAGTCTAGCTTTGTGGCCACCTGCAAACGTGATTAGTCTTATCTCAACTGCCGCTCGGTGTAAAGAATTAGAAGATAACTAGAGCATCATTACGTTTTGTGAACTGAAAGGTGGTTTCCTTACCTAGACTTGCGTCTCTGCGTCTCCGTACCACTTTCTGTGATGAACAGGATGGCTGAAAGTGACGTGTCCGACATAAATAATTTTGGCAAGAATTCAGTTCTAAGGGTCACTGATGTTATTTCCTCAGTCATATAGGATTTATAGAAACTATAAATAGTAATAGTGCCGACTAAAGTATCTTTGTGATTGAACTTGGTCCGATTATGTGACAAAGTAACTTTCCTCAACAGGTTTAGACAGCCAAGATGATACCGTTAAGTAAACGTAACTATTTTCAAAGGAATCTCCTCCTTATCTACCCGCAACTTCAATTTCTCCCCCTCCCCCTCCAACACAGAAAATACTTACACCATTGCATTTTACAGCACAGATTGTAAAGTTACATTCGAACCGGAGCGTCCAGTCACCATTGACGGTGAACACCTTGAAGAAAGGGCTGAACGAACGCCTGTCGGCAGTGATGAAGCCTTCATTCTTATTGATGATCATGCCGTCCCCACAGCTGAAAAGTATCAACAGGAGGTCAAGACAGTGATGCAGGATATGATGCATGAAAGTGAACTATTGAACCTACCTATAGGGACAAGAGCGGATACAGCTTTGAGAAAAAAAGGGGGGGGGGACCATTGAAACTCATTTTTACGAGAGTTTCAAAGGTCCTTTAATAAACGTTCAGGACAAGACGGTGGGGTTGGGTGCGCACCCCAGCAAACACTGAAGTCTGTGATTGAGTCTTGACCAGACAATGCAGCGATCTACATCGAATTGGGATACGATGACAGTTGCTGACACCCCACCCCGTTAGTCGCCTCTTACAAGCATTCAAGAATCTTATAGGAATAAGACAGTTCATGACAATATAGTACTTTTGTCATTAAAAAAACTGGGCAATGAAATAGAACTTAGGAGACGTGAATAGTATCCGAGTCCTTAAGTAAATCAATAGTCAGTTGTTGGTCTTGCAGATGTCAATACTTCGCAATTTAAAGTTGCAAAACTCGTCTTTTGGGGCAGGTCGAATTGGGTCATTAAAGAAAAGTTTTTAAACAGTCACGAATCGTTGTGCCTACCCAGCTCTCAATAGGGAGTATCTGTTTCCTTTAGAATCCATTGCGTCACACGACTCCACTTGTATGCCTAAGTCCGTCTTTGCTGAAATGGACGTAAAGAGGTTAGGCCACTTCCAGTGTCGTGACAAAAGTATTCGCGATTTGGCAAATATGGCCGTTCGACTTTGAAACGTCGAAGTATTTTGTCTCTTGCCGCAAATACTGAACAGATTTTCATGTTTGACAAGTCGCTTGTGAGCTTGATATACGATTAGTGCGCATGTGCAATGACGTCATATGTCGTCTGCTTGGAATGCAGAAATAGTCTGCTGTAAACGGGCCGAAAAATCAAAGAACTAATCAGTACGAAAGAACTAATTGTGGATTTTAAACGGAATGGAAAGAACTTCCGACATTGTAAAATTATTAGGTGTACCTGAAATCAACAATTCGGTATGTTTGGCAAAAATATTTGAATCATGGTAATGTTGAAAACAGCCGACGAAGTGGTAGGCCGAGATTGATAGTGAACATGTTTTGTTCAGTGTCCGCAAGAATAGATTTAACATCCTTAGAGACATTAGCCATGATTGTAATGTTGGTCAACATCAACAAGTAAACAGTAGAACAATTCAAGAGTTTTGCATCGGAATGGTGTTTTTCATCGGGTTATTAGAAAGCGCCTTGTTGTGAAGGAAGTGAACAGAAGGAAACTACTTCACTGGTGTTTGGAGAGGAGAATTTGGACAGTACAAAATGAGTGGGAACAGGTGATATTCAGTGATGAATCGCAGGTAGTTATTGGTCAGAATGGAAGAGTTTTCGTTTGGAGAAGTGCGCATGGAGCCTATCGCCCCGAATGCATGATTTACTCGAAACAGGCCATCAGTAATGATCTGTGGTCATTTAACTTGGTACGGTGTTGGCACCTTGTGTCGTGTCACATGGTGAAATTCTTGAAGACAACCTCTGGCCCGTTATAGCTCGGAACTTCAACAACCCATTGCATCGGGCACTAATTATACAGGAATACAAGTGTTACAACGCTGTAAATTGCATGACTTGGCCTGCACAGTCTCCCGATCTCAATATTGAAAATTTATGGCTACACATCAAAAGAACACAACAGTGACGATCACAATCTATCCTGACCACTGACTAACTGCATGAGGCCATCTACGATGTCTGGACAAATATCACTCTACACTATGTTAGAAACATATGAATCAATTCCACGGATTATGGCCTGCAACCGCTCTAAGGGGGAACTTGACCAAGTACTGAGGTATGACAATTCTTTTGAAATATTGCTGTTTAAAGTATTCATACGGTCTTGTGTTTACTTCCGTCATTTTGAAAAGTCGCGAATATTTGTCTCCACGCTGTATCAATGTGGGGATTGCCCATAAAACGCGTATCATAAAAGATTCTTGCAGTTAATTCGGAAATCTTATGGCATGCAAGAAATTAAGGGTTGATATTAAGCAATGTAGTAAGGGAATGTGGCAGGTTTTCACTACAAGTCAGGGTATTCTTGGCATTATGCAGATGGAGAGCGACAAAGTTGCCGAAAAGAAGTGTCACCAGTGTGTGGCCCAGTGTAGGCAGTTGTGCTTAATCCTGCTGTTAAAGTACTCGCGGAAATAGAAAATGTTTGTGGCGTAGTTTAGAACACAACTAAAGGTTGATCATATAAATATTCAATTACTATCGCTTTTCCACCAATTTGTTTTAATCAGTTTGCAAAATCTGAAAGTTTATAGGAGGAGAGCAAATCGTCAGTTTTACTCCTTGAAATTTCAAAGGAAATATGAACGTCTGAGGCAAGCTACAGTATGCAAATGTGCTCGCTTTAGTTCGCGTACATAATATATATCTTCAGAAAAAACGTCCTACAATTCAAAAACCTTTTTATCCTAACCGATATGCAAAAATGATTCAGGATTTTCACGGTTCATTTTTTTATGCCTGTACTCTTGTTGAAAGTACTATTTTTACTACTTTCATAGCTTTTGAGAAATCACTATGGCAACGCACGTGGAAATGCATCTTGCCGTCTTATCAGTGATGTTGGTAGTTAGTTCCCATTGTTGATTGACGTAAGTTGTAATACGTTTCAAAATTTGTTGATATGGACGTTTTTGTTTGTTCTTGTAAAAATGTTATTTTGGATGATAGGACCAAATTAAAAGGTCATACTGTATTATTTGTGAATACCTATTTTTTTTAATGTAATAAATATATGCCAAAAAACATGTTTTTATTTCCCTCGAGTACTTAAAGTACTATCACCCGGGTTACTATGGAGAAGTGTTCAGAGACTTACGAGCAAGTGGTAATTTGTCGACTATGGTAGTATAGTTAGTAGCGAACCGGAATTGAAATGCAAATTATGGACCTCATTGGAGGTACTATGAACTGCTACTTCAAACTGCAATCCATGCCCTCGAACTTGTACAGGCAGAGGCTACTGGGGAGCAACTTTAACTGTAAACCAACGGGGTGTAAACATGAGTGCTTACTGTAGGTTCGTGCCATGAGTCGGACGCTCTTGCCAGTCGGTATGTTCCCTGTGAGTGCGGCGCCCTTGACATCAACCAAGTATATCTTGACCACGGACTGGCTGGGAGGTGCCTTATTGCCTTCTATGACCTTTGGAGCACTTACACTGAAACATTAGGATAAAAATATAATTTTCAGAGAAAACTGAGTAGCGAGTGAGTATAGTTTTACGTCACTTTAAGCAATATAGCAATATCACGACACGGCGGGGGGGGACCACCAATGAGCTTTACACATTGTGCCCATGGGGAATCGAACCCGGGTCTTCGGCGTTACGAGCGAAGACCTTAACCACTGGACTACCCCACCGTCGCCTAAACTGAGGACATGTCAAGCAGGTGATTTGTAGACTATCACTTCTGTTTTTGCTGGGAGTTCTCATGCGCTGGAGTTTGGGTGATGAAATTTGTTTCAGATTGAACTGGATGTTGCTACTCCATGGTGATGACAAGGCGGGATGAAGCGCTTAACTGACCGAGGTTCTGTGCTGTAGTGGAATACGTAACTTTGTGTGGTAATGTTACGGTTAGAGGCTAAAATACCACCTTAATAACTTTGCCGAAATACATTACCCGTCAAGATTTTAGAACAGTTGACTAAATTGATACAAGTATATTAAAGTCTAAACTATCTTGCTAAATATTCTATACTGTTCATGCCTACTGTGTACAGACGAACTGATGTATTGTACAACAAATTCGTAACGTTGAAAAGATGGTCACGAGTTCAATAAATGGTGAAACGGTGACAATTGGCAAAACTTTACACCAAAACGCAGGTGCTTACATGCACGATATTTGCACATGCCTTTCAGCATTTTGATGCACGATCCTCGTGCAATTCATCTGCATAATGTTTGTAGTTCCAAGTCAGTGGAGAAATTCAAGTTGGATGCAACATACATGTAACTGTTCTAAGCGAGTCTAAACTGTCGACGGGTGGTATATTACATTTACACCTGTATGAACATTGAAGCTGGACGAGACAGGAATGCGCCACTGTAAATGCTAAATCTGTTAGGGTTTGTACGGGCAATGCTGCTACTGTGAGATACATCTATAGCACTATTTGTAAGATGTATCCGAGGGACTTGGTAAAGGTTACCTTATTGTTTCGTTGCATATTCAGTACAAGATGAATACTGACCCTGGAACGATCTTCAGAGGACCACTGTCTTTCTTGCCCTTTGGTTGGAAGGTACATGTAATAGTGTACTCCTCGTCAGACTGGTGAAGACGACTGCCGGGCTCGCCGAAGGCCACGATCACTAGAATTGTGTAGACTAAGGAATCTCGCTTTTTCTAATAGGGAAGAAAATGGCAAGGTTTTCAGCAATCGGGTCACAATGCCATTTCTTTAACATTGTGAATAACGAATATACTTTTTGGGGGCGGTCTGTAAATAATCGAATCTGACAGATAATCTAGTGATTAACATCGATGTACGCAATTGGGATACGACGACACGTGTAACCAAGTCAGCAAGCTTGACCATCGAATCTGTTAATCGCCCGTCAGGTGTAGCTCAAGATGAATTCTAACCTAGGTTGTCATGGCTTGCAACACATGTTTCAGTGAAATTACTACCGATGGATAAAGGCTGTATCTTGACAGGCTAAACAAGGTTTACCGTCAGTTTGATAGCAAGTGAACCTTTACAGCAACGCAAGCTTCAGCCCGGTTCCCTGGGTCTGTTGCGCTTGCTGGTGTCAACTACAAAAGTCGGCTTTGTCAAGTGTCGGGAAAGCGATGTATATACACAATACCTGCCCAACTAGTGGAGAGTTATCACCACCGTGGGGATGCATAGCTGTCACAATACACTCATTAAGCATTATTTGTTTAGTTTTACGCTGCACTCACCAATATTCCAGCTATATGGCGGCGATCTGTAGATAATCTAGTCTGGACTAGACAAATCCAGTGATGAACAGCATGAGCATCGATTTGCTAAATTGGGAACTCATGACATTGGTCAACCAAGTCAGCGAGCCTGACCACCCGATCCAGTTAGTTGCGTCTTACGACACGCATGGGTTACTGAAGATCAATATTCTAACCCCGACCTTCACGGGTAATGTGACAGTGAACTACTGTTGACACAAACTTCGAAAGCCCTGTCGGCACAATGCAACAAAAGTGGCCGAACACATGTTTCTTTCCAAAAAACAAGGGAGGCAATATTTGTGAAGGTTTTGGCAGTACACATACCTTGTATTTACAGACAGACTTCCCTCCCTTGCCGGGGTAGGATATGGGCACTGCATAGTTGACTCCATCTTTGGACCTGAACTTGACTTGGGTTCCCCCGGCACATATGGCCTTAGCTTCAGCACTGAAGTCCGTCATGAGGTTGACGACACCGTCCTCGATCCCGTTAGAACCACAGTCGGGAGTAACTGAAGGTTATAAAAATGGCACTGTATAATGAAGGAACACTGCAAACAATACACATTCTGATAACTACACGAAGTTGTAGACTGATGAGCGATTATGTTTACACCGCCTTTAGGAATATTCACATCACGGGATACTACAAATCTTCACACATTGTACCCATGTGGGGAATCGAACCCGTGACGAGCAAACGCTTTATCTACAAGGCTATCCCACCGCCCCGTAGGGTGAGTTTAGTTTACGCCGCACTCAGCAATATTCCAGCTACAAGGCGGCTGTTTGTAAATAATCCAGTCTGGACCAGACGATCCAGTGATCGACAGCATGAGCATCGATCTGCACAATTGGGAACCGATGACATGTCTCAACCAACACAGGGACAAGCATGGGATACTGAAGAGCAATATTCTAACCCGGACTTTCACGGGTAGCCCCGTAAGACTGGTGAACGAGACTTGGGTAGAACCTTCCATCATCGCTTCAGTTTTGGTGAAAGATGGGTTACAAAAAAACAAACGTAAACAATCCTGAAACAGGATAAGAGTGATGCTTACTGTCAAGAATATAGCCGGGTGGGATTGCCGATCTGACGTAGCTTGCCTGAAACATACCGTTAAAGATGCGTCATCAACCAAACTACAAATGCATAAAAACGCAATCATTGTACTAGGCCATTCATGTTCAATTTTGTAACTTTTGCATAGAATGTCCATAACGGTGGTCTATGAATACTGAGCTGGTACTCTGGAACCGTCTCTGAATTTTACACAGTATTTCATAGAGTATACTGGCCTCTACGCTAACTGAAACAGATCACATGATTGCACTTGCAATTGATTAATCGTCAAGTAAAATGCAATAGCAATTTATATTTTAATGCTTTGTTTTAAAAGCAATAGACACATCGTTTGTAGCGATAACTGAAAACCGAAACTAGTTTTTTAAAACTCACCAATCCGTGAAGATATTTAAGTACTTCATATGAGCCGTTGGCATAGACGGAGAATTGGACAATGGGGATGCCAGAACTTTCACTTCCCAGGCATTTCACGCACGTGCATTTTAGGGCAAGTGTCCGACCAGATCTTATTTCATATTGAGACTTTGCTAAGGATCAAACCATTGATTCAACAGAAAACTATGTGGGGTCTAATTTGGTTTAAATATCTAAGCCTATTGTAAGCATTGATTCTAGGATTCAGCACGTCACTGCATCTTGTGGATCCCGTACCTACTATTGACAGGTAGTTTGTACCTGTCAAAGACTCGTTCCATGATTTGCAAAATGGTTGAGTGGTGCCAAAACATTATGGTCACTCATGTATCAAGTGCATAAGGCTAGATTAAAGTGGCTGTTTGCCTAAAGAGGGGTTACCATATTATTTATCTAGTTTTAAAATGGTTACTATAAATCTATGTTTAAGTAATGTTGGGAATTTGTGATCCTTAGCACCGTGCACCTTAGACCAGAAATGTGCTTCACACATTGTATATATACCCACGTGGGGGAATCGAAACCGGGTCTTCGGCGTGACGAGCCAACGCATTAACTACTAGGCTACCCAACCGCCCCTCTAATGGTTTTGACGAGGCCCGGTTTGAAATATTCAAGCAAGGTCACGATCGCCTTCAAATTACCAGATCGATAATCAACATGAGCGACTTGTGGTTTCCTCAGCAAGAATATCACGTTCTGGGTTATGAATTAATTTAGAAGTTACTTACCGCCAAGCAGAGAATCACCAAGACTGTGCAGGAAAATGCCATTTTTATCCTACAAAGGAAACATAAGTCAGCGTTTTAAGTATGGCTATTAACTGGAATTGTGGTCACGCCCTTGCCCACAATATCGCTTATTGCAATACCAATAAACTAAAACCACAATAAATTCCTACCTTGATGTTTGTGCCCACAGTTCTGCGCTCGCAACGGCGGTTTGCAATCGGCAAGAGCATAGAACGCGTTCAGCGTTCGTTTATATGGCGCTCGTGTGCGTGGAACACGTGCAGAAACGCCAGGTTGCGTTTTGTTGACCCTACCAGCGCAATCTGTTCACAACCCTTGTTGAGTGAATGAGTTAAAATATCTCAGCCATATCGTGACGAGTAGTGAGTGAGTGAGTTCAGTTTTACGCCACACTCAGCAATATTCCAGCTATATGGTGGCAGTCTGTAAATAATCGAGTCTGGACCAGACAATCCAGTGATCAACAACATGGGCATCGGTCTGAGCAATTGGCAACCGATGACATGTGTCAACCAAGCCAGCTAGCCTGACCACCCGATCCCGTTAGTCGCCTCTTACGACAAACGGGATTCGTGATGAGTATAACCCTTATAAAATTGTGAATGAGTTAAGCTTAACACCGCTTTTAGGGTCGTGTCATCTTAGTGTGGGAGTGAAGATTAAGCGATGAAAGCCTCAGACCTTTACATGTACCATTTTGGTGAAACTCACAAACCAAGAAACATAATCGGGACAAAATGGGATTCGAACCCACATTTGTAGGGGACAGTGTAATTTACTTTGAAACATTGTTCTGATAATATTGTTCCCCTTTTTCTATTAAGATGACCCGCGAAGATCCGGGTTTGAATTGATCTTCAGTAACCCGTGCTTGTCGTAAAACGGGATCGGGTGGTCAGGCTAGCTGGCTTGGTTGACACATGTCATCGGTTCCCAATTGCGTATATTGATGCTCATGGTGTTGATCACTGGATTGTCTGCTCCAGACTCAATTATTTACATGCAGCCGCCATATAGCGGGAATATTGCTGAGTGCGGCGTAAAACGAAACTCACTCACTCTATTAAGATTCAATTGAAGGCAGTTGTGTGCTACAAAAAACCGTTTCTGCGGTTTCACCCCGCCGCGACAGATAACAACTTTTGCGCTTTCAATGATGGTGGTTTCTTGTACAACTTTTTTGTTGGAGTCGGGGAATTTTTCAAATATAAGAAAGCTGTTGGGCATTAGTAAATGATAAACATGTGTACTATTTATATTTATGTGGCAATTTTGTACAATGATAAAATTTACAATTCATCGGTCCGTTTCTGACTCAAACGGACTTTGTAGTTACGACATTTAGACTGGGAGTGTAGAATATTCTGGAAGTGTTCAGAGCAGCTGACTAACCCAGCATTGGATAGAAGCTCCCAGGAGGTATGTGAGGTGAGGTGAGGTGAAATTGGGTTTAACGTCGTGCTTGAGAATATTTCGCTCATATGACGACGTGCATGCGTGTGTATGTGTATGTGCAGCTGCTTGTACTAGCCCAGACTTAAACTGGTTTTATAGTGCTAGCCCACTGAGATACCATGCAGCAGTGAAGCATGAATACCCCACTCAGACACAGTATACTGACACCGAGCCGACCAGTCCTTGTTGTACCCATTAATGCTGAGCGCCAGGCAGGGACCAACAAGTACCATATTTTAACGTCTTTTGGTATGACGCGGTCGGGGATCGAACCCGCGACCTCCCGCTCTCCGGGCGGACGCTCTAACCACTACACCACGGAGGCGGTCCCAGGAGGTATGTATACTATATAAAGATCAACAGGCTTATCTCTGTTATCTCAAATTACTTCAAGACCAATAAGGAGCGATGGTACAGTCTAGTGATTAAAGCGTTCGCTCGTCACGCCAAAGTTCCCGGTTCGATTCCCCAAGTGGGTTAAATGTGTAAAACCCATTTCCGTGATATTGCATAAAAACCATACTCACTGACTCATTCAATACCATTAGTCTAACGATCGTTAATCGCCCAGTATTCCCCGCCTAGACCTATTTTGGAGGCTTGATCGCTGTTGTTGGTGTGCGCTGATCTTTAATGCTATAATACCGGCACTGATATTGTCTTGCCAGAAGCAGATTGTATTTCTACTACCACTGGGTTTGTACTGCCACTCTGTTTAGTATCGCCAGTTCAATTCCTTTGCAATATGGGTGGGTAACATAGTTATTAAATCGTTCGCTCGTCACGCTGAAGATCCAGGTTCGATTCTCCACATGGGTATAGTGCGTGAAGTCCATTTCTGGTGTCCCCCGCCGTGATATTGCTGAAATATTGCTAAAAGCGGCGTAAAACTAAACTAACTCACTCACTCCTTTGCAATAATTAACATTGATTTGTAGATAGTTATTATATAATACAATTGTTTGTTGTATGGCATTTCATTGTGGTTTGACGATTTTGACACTCACTTCTTTCACGTATTTCTAAGTTCACATAGTTTCATCTGGGAAATGTAACAAGGGACGCAACTCTGCACAGACGAGTGGGTTACCTGTGTCCCCGACACAACTGATCAAGTCATGCCATTCCGTGATGAGGCAACTGGAAATCATGACCCTGGCGGATGTACACGGTAAAGCCTCAAACAAGATGGATAACTCCGATAGCTTTTCCCAAGCTTAAGAGCATATATATTGGTGCTATAGTAGGGTTCGCGTGTGTAGTTTCGTAGCTGTTCGTTAAATAAAACTCTCATATTGGTCCCATTAACATGATTAGATATATCTGTGTGAGATATAAATGAGCTCGGGTCGGTCCATATGAATTATATATTACAAGTATATCTTTTCGAATAGATGCTCAAGACTTCTGACAGTACCGCGTAACTTACACTTGCGAGATACACGTTCATTGGCAACCCACACAGGGGTAAGAATTAACGTGTATCTCGCAAGTGTAAGTTACGCGGTATTGTCAGAATTCTTGAGCATCTATTCGAAACGATGTTGTTAAGGCGTATGTTAGATGCTCAGGTTGTTTTAATGTTGGCCAAGGTTTCAAAGGTTTAGCTCACTCGAACCCAGGTATCAAATTGGTTTAATTTTTTGTTTTACGCCGCACTCAGCAATATTCCAGCTATATGACGGCGGTCTGTAAAGAATCGAGTCTGGAACAGACAATCCAGTGATCAGCAGCATGAGCATCAATCTACGCAATTGGGATACGATGACATGTGTCAACCAAGTCAGCAAGCTTGACCACCCGATCCCGTTAGTCGCCTGTTACAAGCATGGGTTACTGAAGACCAGTTCTAACCCGGATCTTCACAGGCATCAAATTGGTAAAAATGGTTTTACGATTAGACTCCAGGGCCTAGATTTTCGAAGCTCTCTTAGCGCTAAGATAGTTGTAAGTTAATGTTAATGTATGGCACTTACGACTATCTTAGCGCTAAGAGAGCTTCGAAAATCTAGGCCCAGGTCTTTGTGCCTCTAATCATTACTTAGTTTAGACGAAATCAATGGCGCTGTCAAACTACAAGAAACACGAACACGCGTGTGTATTGGAATCTACCATCCAACATGATCTCCCTACCTGGGAAGAACCGGGTTAGAACTGGCCTTCAGCAAACTGTGCTGAGCGGGATCAGGTGGTCAAGCTTGCTTACTTGGTTACTGCATGTCATCGTATCCTGACTGTGTAAACGATGCTCATGATGTCAACCCCTGGCTTGTCAGATCCAGACACGATAATCACAGAGCGCCGTCAGTAGGCTGGAATACTGCCGAGTTAAACAGCAAAAAAACATGGTCCCACACCCAACAGCCTCGATATATGAGGCTGTATATCTTATAATACCCCATGGCTTGGAACTCACAAACGCATATTTCAGTTATCAATTCAAGTAATCGGAATGGTATTAAAAAGCTGCCCCACATCTTGATCGTTTCTACTCGTGGTGGCTATCGAAATGATCCCTCTGGTTGGTTACAAACACTACGGGTGGTGAAGCTCTCGAAGGAATAAAAGAGTGAGTGAGCAATGGAGTGTGTGAGTGGAGTGGAGTGAAGCGCAGCATGTTTATTTTACGTCGCTTTTAGCAACTCCAGCAATACCGCGGCGGGAGACACCAGAAATGGGCTTCACACATTATACCCATGTTGGGAATCGAACCCGAGGAATATAAGGATACACCTCGCTACTATCGATTTGATAGTACAATCCCTTCAGCAGCGCTGGCATTATCCTGTTGACAACTGAGTGAGGCGTTAAACAACAACCAACCAACCATCCTGTTGAAAAAAGAACTGATATTGTTGCCTTTTCTACAGAATTTCAACACTCATGACTTGCCATTAGCCGGTCCTCCACGTGTAACTTCACAATTCAACCATATTCGATCGGTGCGTCTACAGTATCGGTACCAAATTGCTACATTTACAACTTGGACAATTCCTTTGGTTGGGAGCTATTGTGACAGAACCATATGCAGCCTGTTGAAGGATCACAACATCTGTCCCAGCATCCGTCGATGAGCATCAATCAATTTTAAGTTCCATCGGCCTAGCTGTGTGAAGACTGTCTGATGTCCAAACAAATAGAAAGAAAGAGTTCAACTGGATCGCTCTGGTGGTCTGGCGTTACTCAACGTCGCTGGTTTTAAGGATGGAAGTGTTATAGTATTGGGTAACGACACAACTCATCCTATACTGGACAAAATAAGTTAGGAATATTGGTATTTTTATGATTGATATTTTATCAGTGTATCAATTAATAAATAGATCATGATTCATAATTTCTAAATTTACATATATCCCTAACTATTTTTGTCCAGTATATGTATGGCAATTTGAATGGTACATGCCACCAGGCCGACATCGTTCGAGATCATGCAGGGACATTACGTCACATTCATACCGCCTTCCGCCTTTGCCTTGAGACTCACGCTTTTATCACTCGTGGCACGCTCTCAAGACAACTGCTAAATCTCACGCCAAACTTTAGCATGCACATTTCCACCGCTTTCATTTTTTTTAAAGAAAATAAATTTTAAAAATCACAAATATCTTAAATTACATAGTTTACAATGACTTTTTCCGAGAAGGGAATTTGCAATTATGAGTTGGCTTCCTTGCTTCACTCCCATGAACCCCTCCAGGGTGGACCCTGGACTCGGTCTTGGACCCGGACACTGAAGCTTTTCATCATGTGGGGTTGGAAGCTCTGCACATGTGCTCGCCCATATGAACATGTTGCGACAGACCTTCTGAGGCACGCATAGTGTAGCTGGGATGAATTCAGTGATTTTATATTTTGTACATAGATGCATAACTAAGCATTTAAATCTATTTCAGGTTTTAGTGATGAGGCTGACGACATCTGTTTTAGGTACAATTAGATGTTAGTCCGACAGTCTGTTGTGTGTTCGGCACGATTGTGTCACAGGGTTGTGTATTTAAGATGCAAGTGCATTGAGTCTTTATGGGTTCATCTGTTATGTCATTGTCTTTGACGTCGTAATAGCGCAGGCCTACAGTCAAACTTGGATTTGTACCCAACATTTTGAGTGAATTTTCAGAGATCATCAGAGCAAGCACTCCACTGGCAAGTGATGCCCTGCCAAACGTTAGTTCTGTATTTAGTGACGTTAAGCCGATTGTCCCTGCTGGTCGATACTGCCGATAACTTCACTGACAGGCCCAAACATAATACCAATTCCAATTAACGAGTCAAAAACTGATGTATCATTTTATTTTTTTATTGTCCAATCACCAGTTTAAAAAATATTACAGGATTTACTGGTTGCGTCAGGCACGCGGCCGAGGAGCTGCGGGATGTGGCAGAACATCATCAGAAACGCCGTTCAACGTGATCATTTCAGTCCTGGCAAAACTGATGGAACTCCTATGAAAGTTTCCAGCACCGTCACCTGCAATATATTGTTTTTATATATATATATATACACATACAACTCGTTATTAGTTTGTCCACAGCAGCCGAGACAATATGCCAACCACCCCCACCCCCACCCCACCTGCTGCTAAGAATCCCCATAAGGAATTTGGGCACATTCTTTCACATTTTTCACTAGCTTGCGAATTGATTTACAGCAATTAGGAGAAACTACGGTTTCAGCGTAAAGTCTTTATAACTTGCCTGGCAGCTCCCTGCGTCTACGCCATTCAAAATAACACGACGGCTGAAATGCAAAATATCACAAGTATAAAGTAATGTAATGTTCCAAATGTTTAAAGAAGCAGTCAACATTTCAGCAATATGACAAATCAGCCCAAAGTTATGCGTGTAAAAGATCCGTTGAAAAGATTGCTAAAACGAAATAAAAGTGGATAGTTCAAAAGGAAATATTTGAGTGAGCGAGTTTAATCTTACGCCGCACTCAGCAATATTAGAAATATTTCAGACCGGTAGTTGTGAAAGATCCCTTAAGACACAGTCTTCATGTACATTCTTTTATAAAAAATAAAAATTAGCGTAAAGAGCGCACTGTGCCAGAGGCACAACTTTTGTTTCTTTATCGCCCCCTCAGCAATATTCCAGCTGTATGACTGGTTTGGACCAGAATCTAGTGGGCGACATAATAAGCATACACTGGGATATCTCGTTAGTCGCTTCAGGAAAGCACTGGAAATGACTGGAAATGACTGGAGATGACCTCACGATTGGTAGGCTACCAGTTAGAGTAGGATATGTTGTATTTCATGTCGGCGTCTGCGAGAAAGGTTCAAGTTGCGCTCTTACCCCATTGCACGTTTTGGCGCAGATGGTAAAGTTGCAATCTATACTTAGTTGTGGGTCCCCGTTGACTGTAAATAGTTTAAAGAAAGCGCTGTATGCCACCTTGCCATAGGTTCTGAAACCTTTCGTCTGCTTCATGACCATTCCGTCTCCACACCTGAAACAACGTACAAAGAGGCAATATCTCACCTGGGCCCCACTAGGCTGGGTATCGAACAGGGAATCCAGTACGAGGGCGTTCATACACCAACAGTTACTATTAATGCTATTGTTGACGTGCCTGCAAGGAATGATTTATACCTGAAACAATATGCATGCATGTTGGAGTGAAACCAAGAAAGGAAAATAGTCATTTACCATTTAGACTGGAGCGAGTGATTTTGGTTTAACGCACTATGTCAGCACTATTCCAGCTGCGTTAAAATGGGGGGGGGGAAGAGACTTGAAATGGGCTTCACTCATTGTACCCAAGTGGGGAATCGAACCCGGGTCTTCTGCATGGCGAACGAACGATTTAACTGCCAAGCGACACAACCGCCCCAAAGATTGTACGCGGGTTTGGGGTTTTCAGCACTACACTATGGGGACGAACCGAGATGCAAATCAAAGATCGGTTTTTCGGCCTTGACATTCCAGATTTTGTATTCACATTTTTGTTTACACGTCTTTCATTTGTCTATATGCTTGCATTCAATTTTCAGAAGTCCGATTTAATTATGGGCTAATACTTTCGGCTGTTTCGATATATACCGAGTTGTGCACACACGGTAGGATTACATGATTATATCAAGAGAATGTCAATGGATGAAAGGGAGGCGATTCAGGAAATAAAACCAAACTCACCCTGATCTTAGAATAGAGAATCGGGCGCCCTTTGAGTTGACAGCATCGCACGACTCCGGTCGGATTCCCTTGTCAGAAGGTCCTAGAAGATCCATGTTGGTAAACTACGGGAAGTGAGTTTAGTTTTACGCCACACTCAGCAATATTCCAGCTATATGGCGGCGGTATGGAAATAATCAAGTCTGGACCAGACAATCCAGTGATCAACAGCATGAGCAGCTATCTGCGCAATTGGGATTCGATGACATGTGTGAACCAAGTCAGCGAGCCTGACAACCCGATCCCGTTAGTCGCCTTTACCGACAAGCATGGGTGGCTGAAGACCAAGTCTAACCCGGATCTTCACGGGTACTACGGAAAGTGATATCCCCTACTACACCAGACCAGAAATGGGCATCACACATTGTACCTATATGGATAATCAAACCCGGGTCTTCGGCGTGACGAGCGACCGCTTTGACCTCCAGGCTACCTCATCGCCCCAACTAATAAAGAATTACGGACCGGGGTCCCGTTCCTCAAAGCGATCGTAGCGCTAAGGTGATCGTAACTCCCATACTTTAACATAGACTTACGACAGTCGTAGCGCTACGATCGCATTGAACGGGGCCTGGGTCTCAAGGTCATCTGGAGTGCGTCAGACACATAGTACATACAATAACTTGCCAAATATAAACCTTAAACTCACCGAGAGTTACGGCCTTCAGTCTGACACTCTTGCCCGCTGACACGGAACCAGTTATCTTCTTGCCAACGATGTTGACCAGGTACAGATGGATGACAGAGGGACTCTTTGGAGGCGTGTTTCCTTCCACCACCCTGGGAGCAGTGTCCCTGAAAGGAAGGTTCTTGCTATAGATATAATACTATTGCATACTATTGTACATGTCTTCAGAAATACACATCCGTGAAGATCCTGGTGACAATTGGACTTCCAACTCATGCTTGTAAGAGGCGACTAACGGGATCGGGTGGTCAGGCTCGCTGAGTTGGTTCACACATGTCATCGTATCCCAATTACGTAGACCGATGCTCATGCCGTTGATCACTGGATTGTCCCGCCGCCATATAGCTGGAATATTGCCGTGTACGGTGTTAAACAAACAGAAGTACACGAGAGTTAGATTCCCAGTACAGTTATTCTATGCAGCATGGGATTAGTACGCCTTGAAAGTCATTTTGGCGCGAGACGGGAGAAAAGCTAAACGTAAAATAACGGTGACCATTGGTAATATCTCGAGCATAGTGTTTACAAAGATTATCGGGCTAAATCTGAGATTCGAACCACCAATCAAATCAAACGCCTTTGACTATACATGCCTTTACATGGTTATAAACTGCCCATGTATGCAACATCGACAAAATTACTTCCCGGTACCCACTTACTCCCCCTCTGAAAAATGGAAGTTAAACATTTCTTTACCCATGCCATCAGCCAGCCCGACCATCAGTCGACGAGCCTGACAACTCGATCCCGTTATTCGCTTCAGAACAAGCAACTTTTTGCTGAAGCCCAATTCTAATCTCCATGGGTAACCCATTTCATAGACCTAAGTCCTTTTGTACAGAAATAAAGTGTTCAGAAATGCAGCAACCAACATTAGCAGAAACATAAGAAAATACCAGTTAATATCTGACGTCAGTAGTTCAGTAGTTATGTCCATTGGAGTGAAGGAGTGAGTCTAGTTTTACGCCGCACTAGGCAATATTCCAACTATATGGCGACGGTATGTAAATCAACGAGTCTGGACCAGACAATTCAGTGATCAACAGCATGAGCATCGATGTACGCAATTGGGATACGATGACATTTGTCCACCAAGTCAGCGAGCCTGACCACCCGATCCCGTTATTCGCCTCTTACGAGAAGCATGGGTTACTGAAGACCATTTCTAACCCGGGTCTTCACGGGCAATAGTGGACATGTCTTAGGCGAGTCTTTATGGTTGACGGATCGGGTGCTCAGACGCGGTAGTCGCCATTTACTATGTAGATCGTCGCTCACGATATCAACCCATGCTTATCGTAAGATTGTCTGCGCGGTAGATTTGCGTAGATCCGTGTTACATTGTCTGCTAGACCGTCATATACATCTATAGCTGACAACGGCGTTAAACGCGAGATTGGTTGGGCACTATAAAAGTGTCAATTTACCTGCTTTGAATTTCAAGAAAGAAAATTACGTCCACCGCTGGGCTTCGTACAATGTATGTCCTTCCCCTCCCCTCCCCTCCGGCAACCTACCCTGGCTTGATCGTGAGTGGGAAGCTCTTCTTGTTGCCCCCTGGTTGGAAGGAGCACGTGACGGTGTATCGTTCATCCGACTGGTGGAGACGGCTACCGGGACTACCGAACGCAACAATCACCAGAATAGTGTACACAAAGGCGTCTTTCTTTTTCTGTAAAATAAAGTTTATACAGTATTACATACGGCCATCCAATGTATGCTGAAATGTGATAATTTAGATGTAGTTAACCGACTTAAAAATCAAGGAAAATGAAATATTAAACGGCCTGGTAGACTGCATACGGTTTTACGTTGTTTTTAAGTAATATTCCAGCATTGTCATGGCGGGGGGACACCAGAAATGGGCTTCGCATATTGTATCCATGTGGGGAATCGAACCCGGGCGTTCGGCGTGACGAGCTTACGCTTTAACCACTAGGCTACCCCACCAACCCCGGCCTAGTAGAACCAATATCCCGCGGTGTGTAGGATACTTGCCACAAATTTACATGTTGATTTCCCGGAAGTAGGGTAGGAGACGGGTAGATTAAAGAACACTCCATCATGCGTGGTGAAGCTAACTTCCTTGTTGCCGGCACAGATCGCCTTGGCCTCGGCGTCGAAGTCAGTCATCAGATGTACAGCAGCGTCGGAAATACCATTTGCCCCACAGTCAGGTGAAACTAGAATCAAACACACGTGGGGGTGGAGCGAAGTGTAATTAACTCTAAGCTGGACATACCTAGGGGATGAATCCTGTAGATTGTAACTACTTAGGTCCTTAAATACCCGAGGTGGTTTTCAGCAAGAGTTTACTCATTATCGCGGTAATACAGATCAGTTTATACATCAGTGTTAATTGTAAATATGTGTGACCCGATCGTTTGGTGCCTGACCAACTCTTGATGTAAACCGAAATTCAGTATGTTAAATATACACGGAAGGAGGCTAAACAAAAACATTTGCTACAGTGGGTCTGCCAGCACTTGAGCTTCGTTCTCATCTACTGTGGGAGAATACAAACTGATTTAGGGCATCATTTGTTTTATGTGTTGCACGTATTTGTGTAGCACGTAGCCACCAAATTTTGAACATGGGTCTGTCTGTCGAGAAAAACAAACCCCAAAACCACCTTAATAAAGAAAAAATTATCTGAACAATGTACTTGATACTCATTTATTGTAATTCTTATCACAATTGCTCTCGTTCTTTGGACTCGTGGCAGTGTCTGATTAAAAGATAAACGTATTATATGACGAAGCGGTACGTTTTACGACGATGTTGGAATGAAATTAGAAGGGTCGGTCGGGCGATGAGAAATACAATGCTACCCTCACTTGTTATCACATTCCCCCCACTTGATATTAGTACAGCTAGTGTGTGTGTCTGGACTGCTGAAGAAAACAACGTGGTGAGGTAGGAATGAGACTATACTTACTATCCAATACATACCCTGGAGGTACAACACCCTGGACAGAAGCCTGGAGAGAAAAATATTCACATGCAGAAAGCCATAGTGTAGCCAAAAGCTTACGACTGAACTGGTTATCAATCGACCATGTTACCAATGCGTTTTAGACACACACAACGCGGGCAGATTTACAGTGTTTAATTGCAGTGTTTGGATAAATTACGAAGTCAGTAAACTGTTTCTGATCAGTACATCCGTGCAACGGTTCCAATTTTTTACTTCACGGTGAAACCATTTTCCGCAGCAAGAGTGAATGTTTTTCACACAGTAGCCAGCGATCGACAAAACAGGTCGACAGCATAAGCAACTAAATCCGGGTACGACTCCATATCACTATAGCAATTAATGTAAGTACTTAGACACCCTTGTTTTGTACTTACTATGAAGGCAAGAACAGCTAAAATAGCCACAGGAGCTGCCATTTTTCAACTTTCGCCTGCAAATGAAAATTCACAGCTAAAAACCTTTTTAAATGAATTCGTAAACGAATATTATTAAACTCAACAACTCAAACTAAGTTTTCGAAAGTTTAACATATTGCTCTTTAAACGTCAGTAAACTGTGCTACAAATAATGTGTTACCCTTGCCACGACGATTCTAACTCGGTACCTGTCGTCGAAAATTGTCGACAAGCGCTTTTATACCTCAGATGACGTCACACGCACGTGTTGCACGCGGGTGTGTTTAGGCAACCGATCATTGCTCATCACTATACCTCATACGGTACCCCTCATACACGGTTATACTTCGATTGGGTAAAAGTTGTCTGTGAGTGAATCTTTTCATTTTCGAGAAACTATTATGGATAGCGTACAAATTGGCCTTTCCAAAAAATGACCTTTTGTTGTTGTTGCTGGTTTTTTGGTGTGTGTGTGTGTGTGTGTGTGTGTGTGTGTGTGTGTGTGTGTGTGTGTGTGTGTGTGTGTGTGTGTGTGTGTGTGTGTGTGTGTGTGTGTGTGTGTGTGTGTGGTTAATTATGTCAGTAGATGGGATAACCGTCAACAACAGAACAATTGAGGCGATAGGTGAGGTGAGGTGGGTTTAACGTCGTGTTTGAGAATATTTCGCCCATATGAGGACGTGCATGCGTGTGTATGTGTATGTGCGGCTGCTTGTACTAGCCAAGACTGAAGCTGGTTTTATAGTGCTAGCCCACTGAGATACCTTGCCGCAGTGAAGCATGAATACCCCACTCAGACACATTATACTGACTCCGAGCCGACCAGTTCTTGTTGTACCCATTAATGCCGAGCGCCAGGTAGGGACCAACAAGTACCATATTTAAACGTCTTTTGGTATGACGCGGTCGGGGATCGAACTCGCGACCTTCCGCTCTCCAGGCGGACGCTCTAACCACTACACCATGGAGGCGGTCTTGAGGCGATAGGGGTAAAATGGGTTTCTGAAGGTTTTCGATGAGTTGTGCATAATACTGCCACGTTCTGTTAAGTATTCATTACACGGTGTATGAGTCTCACAGTGGCGATTTGAGGAGTCTGTTCCACTCCTCTTGCAACGCCGGACCAAGTTCAGCCGATGCACACGTCTCTCCATGCATCATGTCCCAGTACAGGCCTATTCGATGGGGAAAGGTTTAGGCTCATAACTGGCTATGGCCATACTGTGTTGTGCTACTGGAAGTGGGCAGTGACGACACGTCAGTGATAAAAATGGCGTTTTCGAAAGACAAAACGTCGAACCATACCCCTTGCAAAAGGAACAACAAAGGATGTCCGTATATTGTCCTGATAGTCTTATCCAATTACCCTTCCTTTCATAACAGGGGCGGTGGCAGTATGTGGTGTGTGTGTGTGTGTTTGTTGTTAGCCTAGAGGTTAAAGCGTCCGCCCGTCACGCCGAAGACCCGGGTTCGATTCCCCACATGGGTACAATGTGTGAAGCCCATTCCTTGCGTCCCCAGCCATGATATTGCTGGAATATTGCTAAAAGCGGCGTAAAACCATACTCACTCACTCATCCCTTTCACAACGTGGAGTGAGGTTCGCTCAGTTACAGTGATGTCATAATGTCTCAGGTTTCCATTGCATGACGTCACAAGACACGATCATGCCTATCAAGGCAGTGCAAAGTGAATCGGGACTTATCTGAAAATATAACACGCTACTGGCAAAGATTACCCAAGTTAGTGTACACTATTGACGTCAGCAGGCAGTATGACTGACGATTTGTAAGGAACGGCACTACACGTGGCCGTTGTTCATGGATATGAGCTGCAAGTGGACGAACTCTAACCGTGCCACAGTGGCCCGATTAAAGTTTGCAGCAATCTGATTCGCTGATTTAAACTCGATTGCGTGATTGATTGGTTTGTTGTTTAACGCCGCACTGATTCCCCATGCAACTAACGGGATCGGGTAGTCGGGATACAGGTCATCGAATCCCAATTGCGTAGATCGATGTTCATGCTGTTGATCACTAGATTGTCTGGCCGAGACTGGATCGTTTACAGACCGCCGCCATATAGCTGGAATACTGCTGAGCGTGGCGTTAAATAGCAAACAAACAGGAAGGTGTACACATTGTGAAGATCCACGCACGGTGACCCCTGAATGAGCGGTGACCCCACGGTGACGATATGACTGGGATATCACAAAAAGCAGCGTCAACCTCAAACCTCCTCACTCATGGCTCGCGCACTGTAAGTGGTGTCGTCAAGTCTATGTGTGGGGCTCGGATGGTTTAGTGAGTAGTACGGTGCAGTAACGGTGGGGCGGTGTGGTAGCGTAGCGGTTAAAGCGTTCTCTCATCACGCCGAAGACCCAGGTTCGCCGAAGACCCAGGTTCGATTCCCAAAATTGGTGCAATGTGTGCAGCCAATTTCTGGTGTCACCGGCAGTGTTACTGCGACAACCACCCCCTGGCTTGTCACCGCCATACCCTTGTTTGTAGGTTTCAGTCACGTGGTAGACACATGAGACCTGCTTCACCTCAAAGTTTCCCCCCACAACGGACATATTCTACTCATGCTACTGTTCACTTAAACAAGTGAAACTCTCTGTTCGTGAACTGAGTGGTTGAGTTAAAGTTTATCGTCACATCGGCAATATTTCAGCCATATCGTTACGAGAGAAAGACATATACGTCAATAACAAATATATGACATATATTAAAACGGTATAAAATCCTGTCGGCAAATTACAGTACAACAACTAGATTATCACATTGTATATTAAGCTAGTTTGGGAACATATATAGAGAATACTACACGAGGTCTCATTACATACGAATTATACGAAACGAGTGTCCTTCCTATGGTATCTGACCGAGCGAAAGCGAGGTCAGATAACATAGGAAGGTCACGAGTTTCGTTTAATTCGTAAGTAATGAGACCGAGTGTGGTATTTTATTTATTACCCACGTTTTACATGCATTAAATTGACAAAATAGCGTATTTTTGTTCATATTTTGGTTTCAAATCGAAACCGGTTTCATAAAGAGGTTGCGGAAGAGTTTTGTACTGTAGTACAATATTTGCATGACGTCACACTGTAATGACGTCACTGCCTTTGTAACCGACGTCACGATGAATGTCAGTTGTCATCGCCTCGTACAGCCTCCTACAGTAAACTACTCCGTAGCACCCCGTTTCTTGGTTTGCAGTTGCTTCATTCGGATAACATCACTGGTGGAAATATTGCGCTAATGTCTTTCGACGGCTATAATGTCTCAGTTCGACTCACAATTAAACAGTGACACGGCAACGTTCGCAATGTTTACATTCCCACAATGCATTTAAGTTGTAGAATGAATGAATTCGCGTGTTTGTTATGAATAAAAAAATAGTTACGTCAGAATGTGACCTAATTGAGAGGTCATCGGTTATCCAATCAAATCGTTAGAATCTCAGGTCAAGTCGTTACGACACAGGTCAACGTGTCACTCGTGTGACGTACGAGATCAGTATGCAACAACCCATACGTTGACCACGTGGGTAATAAAAAATAGTACATTGTTAATTTACAACACAATATAACTTATAGACCGCCAGCAACTGAAGGTAGATCACCATACTTGGGACCATGGGGACTTACAGTGCTTTTGCTACCTTCATGGACCCCATCCTCGATAATCTCCAGGGTATACGTTACGATAACTCTCCACTATACCCTGGATGCATATACGGCTTGGCCCGATAATTTTATTACCTCCCTTGGCTGGCTTCTTATCCAATCAGGTGTCTACGCTGGGAAGTTGAGCGGACCAATCACAACTCACGTTCGCTTCTTAAGTTATCTAACAGATTAAACTTGGCAACACAATTGATGCAGAGGTACTCTGAAAGAGGTCGAAGGTGTTCTTGCATATATTTTTTTAAAGTTTCAGACCTGTAAATTTGTCTGTATGATTTCCCAAAAAATCTGAGTCGCACTGCGAACAAACCTTCGAGGCTGCAACCGCTATCTTTGTTGACACTGGCAAGTTCGGTTGTAACGGCGGCTTAGCTGATTGGCTACTGTGAGAATGCGCAGTCAGCCAATGGAGGTAATAAAATCATCGGGCCAAGCCGTAGATGCGTCCAGGGTATAGTGGAGAGTGATCGTAACGTATACCCTGAAGATTATCAAGGATGCATGGACCCTAGCTTAATTTATATCATCCCTTTAGCCGCTGGGGAATGTAGACAAATTTAGTCAAAATTTAAAATCACAAAGATACTACATTTAAACAATCTGGTAAGTTTGAATTAACTTTGAACGTTTCTGGACTTACGTATCCTGTTCGTGAAGTGAGGTGGCATTAGTAGGATGGCTTGTTGCTGTGTAAGAATGAGTGACTAAAGCTGGATGCCGATTTAAACAGCATTCCAGTCATATCACGACGCGTCTGCTGGATGTCAAGCCCAAGTGATGCACGTCTCATGTGAAACCACCGAGCACGGGTATGGTGATCACAAACTCAGACCCGTGAAGGTCCTGGTTACAATATTGATCTTCAGTAACCCACGCTTGTCGTAAGAGGCGACTAACGGGATCGGATGGTCAGGCTCCCTAACTGGGTTGACACATGTCATCGGTTCCCAATTGCGTTGATCGATGTTCATGCTGTTGATTCCCGGATTGTCTGGTCCAGACTCGATTATTTACAGACTGCCGCCATATAGCTGGAATACTGCTGAGTGCAGCGTAAAACTATACTCACTCACAAACTCAGAAACATAACCGGCGTGTCCAAGGGAAGCAACTCTGTACATCGAATTATGGCGCCTTTGCCGACTGGACCACATGTGTGTAAGGAAAGTATGGAATACAAGTGTGTAAGGATGTACGGAATACAAGTGTGTAGGGATGTATGGAATACAAGTGTGTAAGGATGTATGGAATACAAGTGTGTAAGGATGTATGGAATACAAGTGTGTAAGGATGTTTGGAATACAAGTGTGTAAGGATGTACGGATTACAAGTGTGTAAGGATGGATGGAGTACAAGTGTGTAAGGATGTATGGAATACAAGTGTGTAAGGATGTATGGAATACAAGTGTGAAAGGAAGTATGGAATACAAGTGTGTAAGGAAGTATGGAATACAAGTGTGTAAGGATGTATGGAATACAAGTGTGTAAGGATGTATGGAATACAAGTGTGTAAGGATGTATGGAATACAAGTGTGTAAGGATGTATGGAATACAAGTGTGTAAGGATGTATGGAACACAAGTGTGTAAGGAAGTATGGAATACAAGTGTGTAAGGATGTACGGAATACAAGTGTGTGATGATGTATGGAGTACAAGTGTGTAAGGATGTTTGGAATACAAGTGTGTAAGGATGTATGGAGTACAAGTGTGTAATGATGTATGGAATACAAGTGTGTAAGAATGTATAGAATACAAGTGTGTAAGGAAGTTTGGAATACAAGTGTGTAAGGATGTATGGAACACAAGTGTGTAAGGCAGTATGGAATACAAGTGTGTAAGGATGTATAGAATACAAGTGTGTAATGATGTATGGAATACAAGTGTGTAAGAATGTATAGAATACAAGTGTGTAAGGCAGTATGGAATACAAGTGTGTAAGGATGTATGGAACACAAGTGTGTAAGGCAGTATGGAATACATGTATGCCGGGAGCCATGAAACGCACTGATGTTCATGAACTTTGCCACTCATTCACATTAGATTTACTAACCTTCTCACGTGCCTTAAAGGGAGGATCTATACTTGAAACAATAATATGTATTGACAATGCAAAGGAAAGAAGACCGTCCGTTTGCAACTTAACAATGAAGCAATCTGTTTATCAGTTTTGATGAGCTATACGTATATTTTATATTTATAAAGTCGTTTTGGATAGATTTTATCAAGACATGAATTGGTGAATGCTTTAAAACTTGAGCACTTGATACTGATGCTTGAAGTCAAGGATGCCTTAGTGAACAGAATAGTCAGACCCCGTGCCATGGGTGAGTGCTGGCCGTTTTACCCCGACGAGTGGAACGTTTGCTCATGACATCAATCACTGGACTGTCTGGTCCAGAAAGACTGGTTAGATAGCTGGCATATTACAGAGTGCATCGTTAAACTAGAAACGTGTAGCTATACTATCCTAAACGTAGTTTGGAGAGGAATTTGTATCAGTACGACATATTCTCTTACACACATTGTTAAAGGGAAGTAGAATTCGAACACTGCGTATTATCTATCAGCAATGACAGAATGAATATAGTCTTATGAAAACTTGCGGTGTTCTTTTAAGTAGTAGATATCACATCGCGCAAGTCTTCCCCTCTGTGAACAATACATGCACATGTATATTCTGTAAAATATATATGTAAGAAACGTACCTATCTTTTAGGACCATCTTACAATGAAATCTCTTGGAATCTAAGAATGACTCAAATTCTCCACCACTGCTGCCAATATCGATCACCTCTCATCACCATAGGTACGTTAAAAGGGTGGTTAAACAACATCCATTCACTGAAAATATCACCATTACTTTTATTTTCATCATAGTCATTTGAGGCGCTATAACACAAGGAAAAGACTGGACTAGTTGGTTTGGCTGTGATTTTATCCCTAAAGGTTTTTATTATAATATAAAACTACAAAATAACAAATAGACACTGTACATACTTATATTTATATATCATTGTATATGAAAACATTACATTTCTTTCTTAATAAAATCTACAACGCTGTTCATAAATGTCGAACCAGCATCGAACCCAAACTTCTCATAATCTACTGCATTCATGATTCCATGAAACGAGTCTGGCAGGTACTTAAGCTGAACTTTGTTCCCAGCTTGTTTCAGCCTCTCAGCTAAGATGAAGTTTTCGTCGCGAAGTGGATCCCATTCCGCAGCCACAACCAGAGAAGCTGGCAGATTCTTCAGATTCTCCTCCATCATTGGGGCCGCCCTGGGGTCACTGAACATCCTGCTGATGTACTTGACGTCATCGGTTACAGAGCTTGCAAGTGTCACTTCCGGTTCATAGCCATCAGGAATAAGTTCATTTGGGAGAAGTCTGTAATCAACGAGTTTGGTACATCGCTGCACTAATTCCGGTGTGGAGAAATTCCTTGCTATAAGAAGTTCACTTTGAGCCGCTGTTAAATTGAAATATGAGTCAATGAAATATGTAGACATTGCCGTGGGTTTCTCATACTCTTCACGCAGCTTCATGGCTGGCAGGGATTTGTCGCAATATTGGTAGATCCCGTATATCAAGATCTGTGCTTTCAGTGCCGGTTTTGTCTTTTCGTCCCTCAGCGCCAAGGAAACTGCCACAGCATTATTTCCACCAGAACTGTCGCCTAGATGAAATTGATGTTTAATTAACATTCTAAACGTCATTTGCAGAAACGGTCGTGCAAAACAATCGTCATCATTTATATTTATAATTAATCAATGTGAGACCTCGAACAAGTTTGGTTTCCGTCGGGGAAAATTATATATGTCAATAATATTTTGTAATGATAAAGACTGAAGTTATTTTGTTTGCCAATACTAAGCCGTGAAATGCGTGAGTCTGAAGAATGAGTGTTTCTGATAGGTCAAACTAAGATAAAAATTCCTTCCATTCGAATCTTAAAAATGAACAAGCCTTAAGGCACAACCGTGTGACTCAAATACCAGTCTATCGATGAGCATGCGCATTATCACTAACATAAATGGCCGCCTATAACCCACTGGAACTGTATACATTCGATATCAGAAAAACCCGTCTCATCAAATATGATGAAATATATTTGAGATATCGCGATTAAGTAAAACATGGGCTCATCGACGCATAAAGGTCACACAATCACAAGCCAATGATCTCATGACGACACCTCTGCACAAAATGCTTCAGAACTCCCAAACTCATGTTGCCAAAGGTAATAGGACATATTCATTTTGCGCCATTGCACTTCTATCTCTTCATGACTCCATTGCAAAAAAACGGTCAGCATGATTTACCTCCAACTGAGATCCTGTTTGGGTCAAGGCCGAGGTCACGACCTTGTGTCAACACATGAAGCGCCACCTGGACACAGTCATCGAAACCAGCAGGAAATGGGTGCTCTGGAGCCAGTCGGTACCTGGCGAAAACAGTCAACTTCATTACCCTCACACTTAGTGCATCGTACGTCAACTGCACTACAAGTCAGCTATAAGAATGTGTGAGTAATATGTTTCAACATGTGCGTATTGATGTGTGGCCGAGTTTGGGTTTTACGCCACCTTGGGAGTATTTCCGTGATTGCATGTCATCTCATTGTTTTGAACATCGAGTGAGTGAATTGGGATTTACGCCGCTTTTAGCAATAGTCCAGCAATATCATAGCGGGTGACAGCAGAAATGGGCTTCACTCAATATACCCATCTGTGGAATCGAACCCGGGTCTTCGGCGTGACGAGCGAACGCTTTAACCACTGGGCTACCCCACCGCCCCATCGAACATTGAAAACACACTACAATGTCCAGCGTTTTGATTGGACTGAGACAATCAATGCCCCATAGTGGCCTAGACGTTTGTTTTCCAAACAGAAGAGCCTGTTGGTCGTTTCGACGTAAACGATCTTGGTAGAGGGTTCGGATATGCGCGCAAATTTGTGATCTGTAGTCACCAGAGCGAGCTTGGTTTTAACGCTGCTTTGGACCGTGTGTTCCTCCGCTTACAACATGGCGTGCAGCTTGACTTTGGAGACCCATTCGTGATGCAGGTCTCAGAAATAGACCATTTTGGTTAAACTTACCAGCTGGGTGCTTATAGATATAATCGGGGCGAGACGTGGTTTGAACCCACAACCATATGTTTCTCTCGTGCTCTCGGGACGCAGCCCCGCCAAGCGATGTTTGATTCGTTTGTTGTTTAAAGCCGCACTCAGTAATATTACAGTTATAAGGCGGCGGTCTGTAAATATTCGAGTCTGGATCAGACAATCCAGTGATCAACATCATGAGCATCAATCTACGCAATTGGGATACAAAAACATGTGCCAACAAAGTCAGCAAGCCTGACGACCTGCAAAGCGAAATGCGCATTAGATTGGGCCACTTCCGCTCGTTGCATGAAATCTAATTGAACTTACTCCACAGAAATGATGATTATGTTGGCTTCACGGGCAATGCGGGCGCACGGGAGATCGTAGGCATCTGAAAGGAAATATTGACTAGAGTGAGTGAGTTTAGTTTTACGCCGCACTCAGCAATATTCCAGCTATATGGCGGCGGTCTGTAAATACTCGAGTCTGGACCAGACAATCCAGTGATCAACAGCATGAGCATCGATCTGCGCAATTGGGAACCGATGACATGTGTCGACAAAGTCAGCGAGCCTGACCACCCGATCCCGTTAGTCGCCTCATACGACAAGCATGGGTTACTGAAGGCCAATATTCTAACCCGGACCTTCACGGGTATCACCTGATTCGAAGGTCAACACAGAGGAAATCTGCATCGCACCAATCATTCATTAATACACATACATGCTATTTCTCAGTATTTCACTTAACATCAAATCGTCCTGATGATAGAGAGTGTTAAGTAACGCGGTTTAATAAATTTTAAATAAGAACAGTTTGCGTTTTGCCATCTGAAAATGGTCAAATTGAACATATGCTGTATCACTGATAACACTTACTCAGTACTCAGTTCACATTCCGTTATTCGTTGTGGTTGAATCTCATTCGGTATAAGAACCAACACTCTCAGAGTAAGGAACCCAATCGCCAGCACACTAAGTCGGAGACCTAACCCACTGAGCCAAAATTTAAGTCTAGTAAGGGGTGGTTTAGATCACGTAAAGTGGCACGGCTCCTGTGGCAGAAAACTATGAATACACCATGCACTCCATCCATATTCACCCACGACCTGACGTCTCCGGGTATAGGGGGAGGGGGTCATCACCCACAATCTGACGTCTCCGGGTATACTGGGGGGTCATGAACTTATTATTTCATCACCCACGACCTGACGTCTCCGGGTATAGGGGGAAGGGGTCATCACCCACAATCTGACGTCTCAGGGTATACTGGGGGGGACATCACCCATGGCCTGACGTCTCCGGGGATACTGGGGGTCATCACCCACGATCCGTCGTCTCCGGGTATACTGGGGGTCATCACCCACGACCTGACTTCTCAGGGAACACTGGGCATCATCACCCATGATCTGACGTCTCTGGGTGTATTGGGGGTCATCACCCACGATCTGACATCTCAGGGTACACTGGGGGCCATCACCCACGCTCTGACGTCTCTAGGTATACTGGGGGTCATCACCCACGACCTGACGTCTCCGGGTATACTGAGGATCATCACCCTCGCCCTGACGTCTCTGGGTACACTCGGGGTCATCACCCACGCTCTGATGTCTTCGGGTATACTCGGGGTCATCATCCACGCTCTGACGTCTCCGGGTACATTCGGGGTCATCACACACGCTCTGGCGTCTCCGGGTATACTCGGGGTCATCACCCACGCTCTGATGTCTCCGGGTATACTGAGGATAACCACCCACGCTCTGACGTCTCCGGGTATACTCAGGATCATCACCCACGCTCTGACGTCTCCGGGTATACTCGGGGTCATCACACACGCTCTGACGTCTAAAGGTATACTCAGGGTCACTACCCACGCTCTGGCCTCTCGGGTATACTCGGGGTCACTACCCACGCTCTGACCTCTCGGGTATACTCGGGGTCATCACCCACGATCTGACGTCTCCGGGTATACTCGTGATCATCACCCACGACCTTACATCTCCGGATATACTCGGGGTCATCATCCACGCTCTGACGTCTCCGGATATACTCGGTGTCATCATCCACGCTCTGACGTCTCCGGGTATACTCGGGGTCATCACACACGCTCTGACGTCTCCGGATATACTGAGGATCATCACCCACGACCTTACGTCTCCAGATATACTCGGGGTCATCATCCACGATCTGACGTCTCCGGGAATACTTGGGGTCATCACACACGCTCTGACGTCTCCGGGTATACTTGGGGTCATCACCCACGACCTTACGTCTCCGGATATACTCGGGGTCATCATCCACGCTCTGACGTCTCCGGATATACTCGGTGTCATCATTCACGCTCTGACGTCTCCGGGTATACTTGGGCTCGTCATTTGTATTGCTGACCACATTTTGACTCTTTACGACATGAACTCGTCAGACCACATTTTGACTCTTTACGACATGAACTCGTCAGTAGGCATACAAGCTTTCAGTACATGCTCACGTTTACAACATTAAAAAATATAGATTTTGTGTGCTCAAAGATCATATCTTTAAAACGAAAATACTCAGAGTTTACCCTGGAATATTCTTCCAACAAATCAACAAATCGGTACAAGCAAGAAGAAGGTCGTCACAGTGTGGAACAGGTTGTTACCTCAATTGCAGCCTCATCCTCCACGGATGGCCCAAATGAAAACTGGTCGTCCATCACTCGTCGTATTCCCTCAATCCTCTCTTTCCCATTTCAACCAAGTTGGAACGACAGTTCATTCTTGCAATGGAAACAATATATACTGCATGAAACAAAGAAATATCAGTGCGAAAAATACTCGAATGTCCTCAGAGAGATTCCACTTAATCCCAAACTATAATTAAAAAGGAAATTGACCACTGAAAATTATTTATCACACTAGCTGGGGTTCGCAAATAGGTTCATCCCTAGCGACTCGTGCTGGTCGTTAGTACCACCAAATCTTGGCGACATGCTACTGGTGATTCGTGCTGGTCTTTAGAACCCACCCAATCTTGGCGACATGCTACTGGTGACTCGTGCTGGTCTTTAGAACCCACCAAATCTTGGCGACATGCTACTGGTGACTCGTGCTGGTCGTTAGAACCCACCAAATCTTGGCGACATGCTACTGGTGACTCGTGCTGGTCGTTAGAACCCACCAAATCTTGGCGACATGCTACTGGTGATGCTGCGGGGCTTCGGCCAGGCTATGAGCCATTGCTTTGAAAGAACATGACACAGATAGTCTCAAATACTGCACCAAACCATATTTGACAAACTCAGAGCTAAGCTGCTCGACTATGCGGACGCCCATGTTCAGACAGCGAAAATTGTATGTGCATGTATATCATGTAAATCATTATATTATGTATTTCTATTGTATGTGATAGCTAGACTGTTGCGCACAGTCATGTGACCTTCGTAGACTGAATGTTGATCAATGTCATCTTATAGCTAGTGTCTTCGAATGAAAGTCAGACACATCAAATGGCCCCCATCTCATTACTAAATGTCAAAATGAACCTGGACGACAAGGCTTACTACAATACCCTTGCTATTTCAGTATAGAGAGAGGGAGAGCCCAGATTCGTGTGGTCTCTTTAACAGTAAACAGTGACCTCCGTATCTTTGCATGGGGTTTCACAAGAGTGTTACACATCTAAGACCTGATTGTGGATATCGATGCTCATGGTGTCAGTCACAGGATTGTCTGGTCTAATTATAAAGTCGACCATTTGCAGGCCACCGACATATAGCTGGAATATTGCCGAGTATGGCGTTACATAACAAACAATACAAAATCTGAGTGTCTTTCAGAGCCTTCCATCGCGCGGAAAAACAGAAAAGTGAAATTATGAAATTTTCTTAAAGCGGAATTTATGATTCTCTTTCACTCACTTGTGATACATATTGCATGACGTGTGATTTACTTACAACCATAAATGCGAGCTTGAGCTTGCCAAACATCTTCTGCAGTTGCCATTGGTTGGCCAAGTGGACAGGAAATGGTGTGCACACAATGTACCCAAAACCAGCCAGCAAGACGCCGCTTGCTATAAACAGTGCTGTACGGCATTTACCCATCCTGCAACACAGGTTAGCATAGTCAGTCATACGTCGTCATAACTGCTCTTCCTTTATTTGTTTTTCTTTAACATTTAAAATGCTACTGAGAGAGAGAGAGAGAGAGAGAGAGGGGTAGACAGATAGATTTATGGCACTTACTTCGGTATCCAATATTTAAAAAGAGCATGGTGATTCACGTATAACATTCTGGAAATATTCTTGAAAATCTCTACTCTACCACTTTTACTGGTAGTGAATGAGTAAGTGGTGTAGTGAAGTGGAGTGGAGTGGAGTGAGTGAGTTTTTACGAGCGTGACGAACTAAAGTACTGTCGGAAATAGAAAAAAAATGTTTTTAGGCTGTTATTCTGTATCCCTAAATTGTACACAATTGCAAATAGCATATGTCGAAATAACCAACGTCGGCCAAACTGGGCGTTCAGTGGGATGCGTAATAGGATATCCAGAAAAGCATGTTCACTCGTAAAATCGGGCAAAACTTAAAAAGGGCAAAAGAAAAAATACGAATTGCTGAAAACAATAGATCAGACTATCAGGCATTTAGGTCGCTCAGCCAGGTATGACGACGGACCGTTGACTCACCTGGCATGAAATGCATGTGCTGCCTACAGACACAAGGGTTCATCTATTGATTAACATCTTACGTGTCCTTCTTTCATATGGTTTATGTTGAGATATGTAAAACAGTATGATACCCATAGAAAAAGTCAGCCATAGTTCAAGGTATTAAATGTCTCAAAATACCCGTCCTGGTTTTGCTTTTGAAATGACCCCTCCTACCTGTTTCTTTTTATAGTGATAGTGAGACTCTATATTCAGTATTAAAGTTATTAATTTTATGTCAGCTATCGTTGATAATGAAGCTAAGGTTTATTTCAAAATGGGCATTTAAAAAGTGTTCTTTGTAATACAATATCATAGCACACTTATTTGCATAAAGCCATAGTCTGTTCCACATAAGTCCCTTTGGACGGTTCACTCTCACTTAGCCAGAGTCTACCCAAAAAGGTCTTGTTAAGACAACATTGCACTATGGCTAGGTGAGAGATGCGAGCCAGGTAATTAGCAAGAGACACTGAAGCGTGAGCCTTTGTACCAGGGCTGTAGTCTATATCTACAATGCAACACAATTGAAGATGCATGCGTGTGTTTGTAACATTAAAGCAAAAGAAACAACATTTCAGATAAATTAATTTAACTACAAAGAATAAAACTGAGAAAGAATATTGAGAGAACATCATACATTATATCTGATACATGATTGAATATGGTCGTAATGTGTTGTCTATGCCAGAGACCATATTATATGGTCTCTGGTTATGCCAAGCGACGAAATGAACTGCCGCAGAAAATCCAATTATATTAACTTGAGGTACATTGAATATATATGTAGTGGTGATAATCACTGGGAGCGGTTACTGTTAGAAATGAACTGGTGTAATGAGTTGAGAGTGTTACTATTACAGTCTGTAGTTATGTAGTGGTCATAATCACAGAAAGTGGTTATGTAGTGGTCATAATCACAGGAAGTGGTTATGCAGTGGTCATAATCACAGGAAGTGGCTATGTAGTGGTCGTAATCACTGGAAGTGGCTATGTAGTGGTCATAATCACAGGAAATGGTTATGTAGTGGTCATAATCACAGGAAGTAGTTATGTAATGGTCATAATCACAGGAAGTGGTTATGTAGTGGTGGTCTGCTCCCATTTGTGAGAACTCCCAGTGTGAGACTCCCAGATGTGAGACAGTGGAGTAGGTAATTAGCAAAGAAAACACACCTTACTCACCTATCTGATAGATGGATTAACCCCAGCTAATTAGGGATTAGCTATTTAACTGAATCTTGTGGAGGTAAGAAAAACAACGGCAAATACACTTCGGCGACTTTGTTTGGAAAGTGACTGATCATGACCATCCTCCAGAAGATGTCCACCGCCTCCGAAAATAGAGAAGGCAGAGAAGACCAAGCTGTGCCAACTCGACCCGGGAGGCGCCCCTCGATCGAGGAAACGCGTGTATAGGGAAATAGACAATCGCCTACTTAGACTCAAAGATAAATTCGCCGATGGAACGAAAAATCACATGCAGTATCTTGATGCATTCGGCAAACTGCTGGAAATATGAAAAGTGTCAAGATTTCCAAATATGGACCCATGTACAAAAGTGTTTTATAATGACACGCAAACATCATAATAGTTAATCAAATGTGTGAATCATCAAAATGTGTGAATCATAAATCATAATGAAATATTTAATGAACTATTTCTTCTGTGTAAATAAAATGATAATCTTTTTCAGTATTTCAGTATCTAACTTGTTCTTTATTGAAAACAATAAATGCTCTTCAACGAACAATGTCTTCTGTGTTAATTAACTCATTTTTATAACGAACTATCCTGCAGGTACTCTTCAGCAACAGGGCTGTTCCCATTCTCATCGTAGGGATGGGGAAGCACCACCTGTGTGCACTGAACCATAAATTAATGTGTCTCACAACTGGGAGTTCTCACAAATGGGAGGACACTGTAGTGGTCATAATCACAGGAAGTGGCTATGTAGTGGTCATAATATTAAGTGGAGTTATCGTTCAGATAATCAGGAAACAGACGATGATACATTTATAGAAAGTTATGAGTTTAGAGCGATATCGTCTTTCCTTCAGTGTGCAAAATTTGCTTCCCTGTATATGTTATCGTGACTTAGAAAACCCCCGCATTGCTCATTTCTGCACAAATCTCTATTCAGTAAAGTCATGTTTTACGTTTCCTATCTCCCTACCACTGAGACTGTAGTTAGGCCGAACTTAGTTTAACAGATATTTCACACTTTTACATAATAACTACACAAACTGTAGAGATAAAATGTTAACAAATCCAGTTTTTTTCTATTTCCGACAGTACTTTAACGCTTTAAGCACTAGGCTATACAACCGCCCCTACATGTAGAATTTTTTCCTCGCCTGTCGTAGTGTCATAGTCACGACTTAAAGGGATGACAAGTGGTGCCACAGTTGCCTGTTGTAAGCCATCCCGAGACCAGTAACCTTGTTCAATGACGTTAGCTACCTTGTTGACACAGTTTTGCCAAGTTTCAGTCGTTATTTTGTTCAGGGATTCCTTAACCAAAACCTCTACCTCACGTAATCTAAAAGTTGTGTTTGATCTGACAACATCTCCTTTCACAATACCCCACCATCTCGTCGTGCATGGGATACACATGCCTGATGAAAAATGAAGTTGAAGGCTGACGTGAAACAGTTGATGATTAAAGTGTGCGATTGTTTCCGTGCTGAAGCCGAAAGGGGCAAACCGTTTTATGCCATTAATAAATTCCGTAAGCGGGCAGCAAAAGCTTGGGGAGTATCAGCAAGGGTACTGACAAATGTTCTTGAACACAAACATTGTGAGGGTGATGCGATGCAGGTAGGGGTCGTGTCAAAATCACACAAATTAAAACATTTGGACAACTTTCAAAAGAACCTTGTAAGGCAGTCTATCAACAAGCTCTATTTTTAAAACAAATATATGTCGCTGAAATGTTTTGAAAAAGCATTTGAAGCAAGAACACAACCTCAGAGTATCAAAGTACACACTCTGGCGACTCTTACA